AAAAAAAAAAAGAGCTTACAGGTTCAATATTACCATCGATGATCCAAGCATTGACGTAGGTGTGATATCTATCTGTTTAAAGAGTACTTATAATATACCTGAGCTGTAACAAGGAGAAAAAGACTATATGTCGATAAGACTCTTGAACCTCTTTATTGGTGAGAAACAAGATGAGTATATAAAATATAATTTACAGTTCGACATGCTGCGTAATGCTAAATGTAGAATGACTGTAAACAGTATAGTGATGGGGTAATCTCACACGAAGATTAATTAGTAAAGAAAGGATAAATACGACAGTGGGTCCTGAAGCTGTATGTTATAGACAGAGACGATAAAGTGAGTAGTAATTGGTGTAAGCAGAGGCAAACGAACAAAAAAAATGAATAAGGGCAGGTATGGGCAGGTATCATATGATTGGCCAATTTTAGATTGGTTTTCAATGTTTTGGTATGTGTGGTATTTGAAGAGGTACGATTACATTGAAGTCTACGCTGCGTACAACATGGATTTTATTCTTGTCATTGGATGAATTTACTTCCTGGAAAGAGTGTACAGTCAGGATTGTGGGTTTGGAAAAAACAATTTATGAAAGATTGAGTCAGTTTTCGTTTTCCATATATGGAATTCTACAAAAGTAGCAGTTGCTTTCAGGGTGAGGTTTAGGATTCACTTTTTATACAGCCAGTATTATATTCGCGTTATCTATTTGGTAGAGTAACGATGCTATATAAAGAGTATGAATACGATGGGTGGTAAAAACACTATGAGCGATGAAAAAAAAAGGCATGCATACGATCAATAGCTGAGGACAAGGAGCCAATTCGGTAAAGGGCCATCAAGCACATATACACATCATCTTTCCTGTCTTCTCCTTTGACTTCCTCAACAAACACTGATCCAACCCAACTCAAGAATATCATCACCAAAGTCAGGTTGCTTATCGTTTAACTCTAATACTTTAATGGTTTTCCTCGTATACTAATTCTGCTTGTTCAATTTCTGAAATCAAATAATCAACTTTCCTATAAATAAAGGCATTTACCAAATTCTAGCTTTTCATCATAGTCTGGGTAACACTTCGCTTGTGTGAACAAGAATCTACCAAAGTCCTTATTAGTGCTAATAATTATAACGTAGTTTTTATAAGTTCTGTGCTTGATTTGAACAACAGATCTTATTACAAGGTTAATCAACAAGCTTGTTTGTTGCTAAAATAAAAAACAAATCTATACATACGGCATCAAAAGGGGGACTCAAGGAACTTGCATCGGTAAAGTGGGGAATTTCCCTCTCATAAGAAATTTTCTGCATCATCAAGTGATGTAACAGTACGATGGCAACTACACATGTGAGAAACCGAAATGGTATCATTCACAGAATAATCAGTTTCGGGGCGAATTTATTCAATAGAAATTAATCAATGAATAAAGTAAAAATAAATCCTCCAACAAGTCCGCCAACGATGGGTGCAAACATGGGTACAAGAGCATAATAGTGATGCACTTTGAATACGTCGATACCCCATCCAGCAAGGGCAGTAAACAAACGAGGGCCAAAATCACGAGCAGGGTTCAGAGAGAACCCAGATGTATAGCCAATGCAGAGTGAGATTGTTGTGACACCAATGGCAATCATGGCACCTTGAGCTGTTCTGAAAGGTAAATTGTTGGGATGGCCAGAGACCATGATAACCAACAGAAGCATAGCAGTACCTACGATTTCTGACGCGACTGCGGACCCAATGCCAACGTACAGAGGAGGATATGTACCAAAGATACCTGCTGTGCTATATTCCCCAAAAATTTGTCGTTCTCCATGATCAAACTGTGTGATGGCTGGCTCAATGATACTATAGAGTAAAGCAGCACCTGTAAATGCACCCAGTAACTGAGCGGTAATATAGATGGGAGCCTTTCGGATTGGAAATCCACTAAACACACAGAATGCGATAGTAACTGCAGGGTTAAGGTGTCCACCCTAGAATATAATTAACAATCAAGTAAGCAAATGATTACCTTGTGACTTACAGATACATGTCCTGCAACACAGATGCCAATCAACACGGAAAGGCCTAACGGGATACTTAGTTCATAATTCGGATCAGTCCAAAAAATACACAGTCATTTACCTGAGCCAAATGACGATGTTAACCATGATTTATTTTTTTCTATATTTAATGTCTGTTCTGCACAGAATCCACAAGTCAATAAGACCAATATGAGCGTACCAATAAATTCAGCCAAGAATTCTCTGTGCTTTATAATAAAAAGGGTTAGAAACTCTATCAGTAGTCATAGGCGCGTATATGTTTATTTCTTACTTTGGTCTTGAATGATTTCGATCGTTGTACAAACTTTTGTATTTTTGATTTCCTTTGTGTATCCAGTTCATCTGTGGTTTTATGACACAATGTTAGTATTGATGATCCTTTTGATGGCTGTCTAGGTAAATCGAATGTCATAGTAACGTTCTCTGCTTTCACAGTATGGTTCTGCGCAGTAGTAATAGATGAACATGACATTTTTTTTAAAGATAAAGAACAAGAAAGAAATGCTCACAGTGTCTTTTATATATAAAAAAGAGGCTCGCATACATCTTAAGCAATGGAACGCGATACGGCAATCAAATTCACTAAAAGGGAACTTACCATTAATATTTGCATTATTATATTTTATTCTGGAATTATAGTCTTGACGTTGATCGACAGATAGCAAAGGATTGCGTTCATTAACAGTCATATCTGTATCATCCATTAATGATACTGCAGAGGAATTTGTTTTCCAGCTTCTTGTCATAGTAAAGAGATGAGAAAAGAAGAAGAAAGGGACAGAGTGGGTACCTTTATCTTGTTCTTTTTAGCCCAATTTTTTTTATCCACTCCGATAGTAACCTAGACATTATCTTCAACTCCTGTTTACTGTTTCTTGTTTGATGTGGTGTCTTTATAAATCACCCTTTAAAGGTTCGAGGCTTTATAATATCTTGGTAAAATATAAAACTACACACGCTTATTTAGTCTGCATGCTTCTATTCTCTCTCTTTCTCTTGAAATGACGACACAATGGTTGGTGCTTTCTTTATTTAGAAAAACTTAATAGCTTTGGCGAAACAAAGACAATACATATGGTCATATGCTTTCAATGCAGCATCACTACAGACATAAGCTATTCATACATACATCAAACCATGCATCTTTAAGCAAGTATTTCGTTTCATTGATCCTTTCAACAAAGATTACTGTTGTAGCACAAGAATAAAACAAAAAGGAGGGGTTTCGATGCTGCTTTTTCTTTCTGTTGCAAGGCTTTCATGCCTGCAAGTTATTCAGCTTGTATAAACGGATTAATTTCCCTTTTTCTTTGAGAGAGGGGAAATATACAGCGACATCAGTTAAGTGAGATAGAGAGACTACGCTCATATTTAACAAAAATAAAGTGAAACTTTCAAGGTTCTCCTTAAATATATTGGATTTTTTAATGTAACATTCCTCTCATAATCAGCATAATGGTCCTTCTTTTGACTGGTACCCGAACTATACATTATTACCTCTATTGTAACTTTAATTCTGAAAAAAGAGTTACATGTATCTCGAAACACAAAATGCTTGCGTAAAAGTGCACAGTCTGACATTAATGTATGCATCCTTGGTTTTGTTTGCTGCAGTAGTGCTGCTCTAAAAAGAGAGATGCACTGCTTCATGAATCATATGAATGATAAAATTATACAATAAATCATATTGAATCTATTGAATCATGGCTTAACATGGGATTGGATCAAGTAGTTTGGAAGCTATAGTAAACTCTCTTTTTCTCGAAAGATGCTTCTGAAATTGGTAAAACTAAGTTTAGGGCTATAAAAATATGATATTGTGATGTGGTAAAGTAAGAAAGCTTCTAAAAACGGATTTGGTTGTATCCTGATGCGATTACATCCAAAGTACATAACGTCAATCTCGGAATATCATACGGTTATTATGTGTTAGGGCTACTAAATCAAACTTTGGACAATTTAGGTACATATGCAAAATCATTAGGCTAGTTTTGCTACAATTCCATAGATATTTTTGAAGAATTACCAAACTTATCAATATAAACTGTGAGATAATTGTTGCAGTTATGTCAGTTGTCTTTGAGAGAAGGACACAATTGAAGCAGAAGAGTTGAAAAGGAAGAAGGCATTCTATATTCATTGATGAACTTAAATATCTCCCTTGCTTAAATTCAAGGTTATTTCTTACCATGGATATGTTGCTGAGGAATACTAGGAGGCTGTGGGGTTGTCCTGAGATACTCATCCCCTTCTTGTTAATATGTGTTCATTTTGAAACACCGCAAAATCTCGTATATGTCTGACATTTAATTTGTTCCCCTTTTAAAAACTGACACATGAAATTCTTTTTACTTTTCTTTTGTCATGAATTCACTAATCAACTATTGCGAGCAGTTCATGCTTGCTATTCTACGCAAAGGAAAGATACCTCGTCATATAGGGTTTATTCTTGATGGAAATAGACGATATGCAAGGAAAATAGGAGCTGCATCGACAAAATTTGGTCACTATGAAGGGTTTAAACAGCTGGAAAAAGTAAATGCTTTAAAGACTATAAAAGTAAACTAACAGCAATAAAGGTCTTGGATTTATGTATGCAACTAGGTGTTGAGGTAGTTACTGCCTTTGCTTTTAGCATCGATAATTTTAATCGATCTAAAGAAGAGGTTGACTATCTGATGCAATTATTCTGTGAAGCATTTGATGGATTTTGTGAAAGAAGGTTGGTTGATTCTTTAAGTAAATGTTTGAATGCTCATATGTCAATAAAAAAAAAAGTTCTCTAGTTCATCAGTATGGTATCAAGATAAAAATTATAGGTAACCTGAGTCTATTGCCAGCCAATGTACAACAAGTAGCATACAAGATTATGGAAGAAACAAAGCATCATAAAAGGTAAAATAGAAAAAAGAAGGGCTAAACAACTGAATGATTAAACAAATATATAGTCGTATATTGAATATATGCTGTCCATATACATCAAGAGATGAAATGACGACGGCAATTAAAGAGACAGTTCAGTCAGTAAAGGAAGGAAAGCTGTCAATAGAACAGATAAATGATGAAACAATACAGAATCATCTATTCACATCAGATTGCCCACCACTCGATATTCTTCTGAGGACATCAGGTGAAATTCGTCTAAGCGATTTCTTATTATGGCAGGCAAGCGATGGATGCCAGATACAGTTTGTCAATTGTTATTGGCCTGAACTGACACTATGGAAGTTGCTACCTGTTTTACTAGAATATCAAATATACTCTGATCATCAGCAACAAGCGAAAAATAATAGTAAAATGCCAATGTTTATTAAATAAATGTATATATAAATTAAATTGTTGTGTGTGCGTGTCTAAGCTTTGCATAAATTAACTTGATCCAGCATAGCAATAGAAGCACCTAAACACCATCCAGTTTCGGCGCCTCGTATCTTCTTTGCTGTTCGTACCAATCTATCCGATGGAATATTATAGCCAAATTTCAATAAGTTATAGATGTAGCTTAAGTTTAAACAGTAGTTTGCATCATCAGATAATTGTTTAATGGCATCTGGCATATGTCTAAAAGGTTTTCTTTCTCCATTACACACTCTCGTCGTCAGTTCCCCAAGCTCTCTTACTGAGAATTCACTTGGCATACCAAGAGGTTGAGTTAAGTCATAAAAGTATGAAAATACATAAAGATCTCTATCCTTGAATGTCTCTGTAAGTGGTGGTTGATAGACACCGTCAAATGCACATGGATTGGTTTCACATAGTTTGTCCTTGTTGAATACTCTTTCAACAACACTTCGACAGGCTGCGTGACCTGCTCCTGTACCAATCAACGTAACCGTACTGTTTTCATAATCAAACTTTTCCTCATGCCCATCTGGTAAGCATGGGTGATACACTCTACCCGTACGCTTTGCTTCATCTTGCCACATGTCAATCATTTCCGCCTTGATTCTCTTTCGTGCTTCATTCAATCCATAGCCAAGATAAGAGTGCTGATACAGGGTAAAAGTATCATTTTGGTAGTCCAGGCTGTATTTGTGTTCTCCTTCAGCCATAGTGGCTGAGGGAACAAACGTGGGCTCAAATACGATCTGAGTGGATGCACCGCCCAAGTCAAAGATAGCAGCTGATTGCCCATCCTTTTTTAATTTGTCCAACAAAAAATTGACGGTGATCCATGCATAGACACCTTCATCTTTGCCATCCATAATTTCAACTCCATTTTCTCCTGCTATCGGGAATGGATATGTCTCTAGACGTCTACGTACAGCCTGAAGGATAGCTTCGCTCTTTTCAGCGCCTAAAAGACGAAGACCTGCTGTTGCCTTGACAGCAATAGGTGTACAACTTTGGTCTTCTTGAGGTACGCTCTTGACTGCAATATCTAATAATTCATTCAAGGATGCTGCTGCTGCTTCAGGATCATCCTGAAAGCTGGATAAGCCAGGCTTTAGCATATGGAATTCTTCATTCTCCAAAACTGGCTCATTACATATATTGAATTTGTAAACATGAACTCTTGAACCAGATGAGCCAGCATCAATCATGATGGCATACTTTGTTGAAGCCTGACCGTCCTTTGTTGCTAAACATTGAGTTGTCTGTTCTATAGGTTGTTCTGTGATTGATTCTATAGAACAGATCAATATCGTTTTTTCTTTTTGTTTGTTTGTTTGTGTTATTTACCGTTTTTTTCAGTTGATAAGACAGATGATGAAGATGATGAAGGATTGTATAATAACCAAAGAAATAATATAATAAAGAGAGCAACTAAACCACACTTCCAAAAAAGACTTTTCTTGGTCTTTATTGAAGTGGCAATCATTTTCTTGTCTAAAGGAAAAAAAAAAAAAAAAAAAGCAAGAAAATATATTTAAATTTTGGCTTAAATTTCTTTATTTCCCTCTTTTCTTTTTCATAAACTTTAAAATGTCTGCTTTAAGCCATTTCAAATTTTCGGGTAATAAAGAAGCTAAACATGACGCAGTAAAAAAGAAACTAATGCTTTTCATAGTGAGTGATGCCTTTGATTCCTTTAGGACAATACGTGTACCAGCAAAAGATGGAATAAGTGGACATAATATGCAATTACAGTATACACATCAAAAAGTGATTGGCAATGGCTCGTTTGGTGTTGTATATCATATCAAATTATCTCACAACAGTGAAGATGCTGCTATCAAAAAAGTACTACAAGATAAACGATTCAAGGTTAGCGAAATAATAACTTACAGATAGACGCATATGCTGAGAACTTTAGACAATAGAATCGAGAGTTGGAGATAATGCGATTGATGCATCATCCAAATATTTGTGGACTCAAAGCCTATTTTTATACTCAGGGTGACAGCAAGGTCAGGGATCAGGAAAAAGAAAGTGTACAATGTATTAAATCTGATGATAGAAGGATGAAGTGTACCTCAATTTGGTGATGGAATATGTACCAGAAACAGTATATCGCGTATGTAGACACTATACCAAATTAAAGCAAACAGTACCCATGTTGATCGTCAAATTATACATGTATCAACTATTTCGTTCGCTTGCATACTCTCATACCTTGGGTGTTTGTCATAGAGATATTAAACCACAAAATCTCCTTGTGCATCCTATCACAGGTGAATTGAAATTATGTGATTTTGGTAGTGCCAAAGTACTTGTAGAAGGAGGAACAAATGTAGCTTACATTTGCTCACGCTATTACAGAGCCCCTGAATTAATTTTTGGCGCCTGTCATTATACTTACAGTATAGATATATGGTCCGCTGGTTGTGTGATGGGTGAACTGTTGCTGGGCCAACCCCTGTTCCCGGGCGAGAGTGGAATAGATCAGCTGGTGGAAATCATCAAAGTTTTGGGAACACCAACAAAGGAAGAAGTCTTGATCATGAATCCAAATTATACGGAACATAAATTTCCTATCATTAAGCCTCATCCCTTGGCAAAGGTAGATTTGATCATAGTAACAAAATATTGGTCATTAAACTTTAGTGATTATATGTATATAGGTCTTTAGGTCAAGAACGCCACCTGAAGCTATTGATTTATTATCACATATTCTTCAATATGATCCTAGAAAAAGATTGACTGCAAGTGAGGCCATGGTTCATCCATTCTTTGATGAGCTTCGTAATCCAGAAACAAAAATGGCAAATGGGCGTGATTTACCCGAATTGTTTAATTTTACCAGAGAAGGTAAGAAAGAAAAGAACAAAGCATCTTTTTCTTACACTCGTCTATTATTAGAGCTATCTGTAAGACCTGATCTGATACATAAACTAGTGCCAGCACATTATAAAGAGAACCTATTACAGTCTGGAATAGATATCGATAACTTCATTCCCATTCCGTTAAAGGATTTACGTTTAAACATAGTTGATTAAAATACATACAAAGTTTCTTGATTTTTATAATAAAAATTCATGATATATTACATAATGTCTCGAGCATCCATAGCAGCAATTTCGGCACAAATGGACTCTGTAAACTTATCCACTATCTCTTTTAGCTCTCTTTGGCTAATTAACGGTAATTGTTCATAGTTCATATCATCTGCTTCATGTGTATCATTTTGTCTATTCTGTCTCTCCTTTTGTTTCTGTTCTTTTTTTCTTTGTTCTTCTCGCCTTCTCTGATCTGCCTTTTTTTGTTCCTCTCTTCTTCTCTGCTCATCCTTCTTTTTCTGTTCATCTTTCTTTTTCTGTTCTTCTCTCCTTCTTTGCTCTTCTCTCTTTTTCTGCTCTTCTTTTACTTTTTGAGAGGCGTTGGCTGTATTGCTACTAGTTTGCCCCACTTGCGCAGCCTTTGTCTCCGTTCCTGGTGGGGCTTTTAATTTTTTATTCGGTCCAGGATCAGAATCTGCTCCTCTCTTTTTTGCTTTTCGGCTCGTTTCCTGTGGTTGTGCACTATTTTTTTGTGTCTTTCTATCTGCTTGTTGTTGTTGCTGTTGTTGTGAATGATTCGCTTTCTTTTGAGCTTTGCTCTCTTTTTTCTGCTTTTGTTTATTACTTACAGGATCACCATTTTTAGTGAACTGGGTCAACATTCTATCTCGCGCAGGATCAGATACGATATTCCAGTCGCGTTTTTCATCAAAAGGGAAATTCATAATGTAGTTGACGACATTTGATTGATGACGAAGATAAGTCAGGTACTTGATTAGTTTCAGCAAAGTGTTGTCACCATTATTTGACGTACTGTCATAAGCTGACACTCTAATAACGTTATATGGCTGACGAGGCACAACTGCTGGATTGTCTGTGATTAAGACGGTATTGGTTGCATTGTAATGGGTACTTGACCAGATAAACTTTAGATCCTTTATTGTACAACTACGTCCTTCACTCAAAATAGTTCCAGACGGATTATATTGACCATCATAGATTTTACGCACTTTTGGAAACTGTTTACACATGGCTTTAAACACATTGCCAGTTGCCGAACTCCAAATGATGACTTCAAATTGTTGACAAATGTATTCAAGGAACGTATCAAAATAAGGTCTTGCAAAATAAGTCTTGGCTTGTCTTCTTGAAAACACTGTGTTCACCCAGTCAATGACCAAAAGCTTTGCTTTGGGATTATCATTATGAGTTGACTCTTGCTTCGAAATCTCAATGTATTCTGGCTCTAAATTGGCGGATTCAGTCATCTCTGATAAGCCGTGTAAATATTATATATAAGAAGGAACAGGAAAACTGTCGTCCCTCTTTACTTTCTCCCCCCCCTTTCTTTTTTTTGGGCAACGCTACATGCACGAAAAATTTCACCAGAAGTTAACTATGATGCCATCTAACACACTTTTCATTATGTAGCTTGACGCTACATATAAGTTTATAAAAGACCCATCTTGGTTTGCTTTTTTTCAGGAAGAAAGAGATAGCGAAATGTCGTTATTTCTTTATTCTAATTTTATGCTGTCAAGATCATTCAAGAGTATTAAAGGATATCCCAGCCTTATCTTAGGTAGAAACTTTGATAGTGTGAGGCTGTAGAATGAAATCACAGTTATCGCCCCGAGATAACGCCCGTAACAATAGCTACTTTGTCCTGAATTTTTTGGTGTATGCAGCGTTTCCTTTTTTTTTTCTTGATTGTCTTTTTTCTTTATACTCTCCCTACTTTTTTTTTTACTTGTATAGTAATAACATATATTAGGATGGAAAAAGATATTACCAAAGATGATCTGATAGAACCTCAAGTATCAACAACCCATAGTCAAGAAATAACTAACTGCGTTTGCCATTCAGTCTTGCCAACAGCTGACTCTGACCGCTGTAGATCATGTAATCAACTCATTTGCATCATTGACAACCAAAAGCAAGAGTGTTTGACAATTACTTTAAAAGTGGAAAAACTGAAATCTCAGCTTAAAGAAAAGCAATCGTTCAATGAATCCATAAAGCAGCAACTCCAGGATTTACAAACGACATATGACAAACGTCAGCAGGATATCAAAATAATGATAGAAAGAATAGATTCGATAGAACAAGATATCCAGACGGTTCGTCTGAAGCATCAAGTCGAAGTAGCTCATACAAAGGCAATTGAGCAGTCCAAGAAAATTGCCCAAGTCGAGTTACAAGATTTGACTCAAAAATTGTTTGAAGAGGCCAATGTTCTGGTGTTCAAAGAGCAACAGGAAAAGGAGCAGCTTCAGAAACAATATGATGATCTTGAGCATGTGCTAACAGAAACAGAGCGACAATTGAATCTTATACAGACAGAACTGGAGCAACTTAGGGAAAAGATGACTCATGATGAAGAAATAAAAACGGCTGCAATCAATCGACGTAGCTTTGGAATCAAGACTACGCATGAGAACTATGTGCTTCGAGCTCAGTTGGATATGTCGATGCTATTTGATCAGAAACAGCCTGTCGAGGTCAGATCAATATTACAGGATCAACTCGTGTTGGATGAGTTTGCCGAGTTTATAGCGTCAGTAAGAACAGTCCCTATGACCAAATTATCTAATCTTTCATTTATGAAAGTATGTTTAAAATCTGACATCAAGCCTTGTTTGCAGATGGTTAGAAAGATAAGCATAAAGAGAGTTATTGATGCAATTATATCGAAAACATGCTTGATCGAACCTTGCTCAGTGCCTGAGAAGAGAAAGAACGCGTCCATGCCAACAAATGGTACTCTTTGGGATAGGTTGTCACAGAAAAAGGTAGATCCATCTTTCATAGGTTGCCATTTATGTGGAAGAACTCTCGAAGAAGAGCAGGAAAGGTTACTACTTCGTTGGAGGTTCCGATTATCCTACTTTGATGAGTGGGCCCTTATGGACAAACACTGCCGAGATCGTATGGTCTCTGTCATGGAATTTTATGATTTCATAAGACGAATAAAGCATGGATATTATGATAACCACCCTATTCTGGACATATACCAAGAATGCTCTCGCCTCCGACTCCGCATGTTTATCAGCAGGTAAAGTAAAGAAAAGAAAAGGATCACATCACTCTTTTTAGTGATACATCTGCATAAATAACAATGACAGGATGGGTGCATTTGGCTGCTTGATTGAAAGCTTTGGTATTACAAATCTCAAGCATGAATTTAAAAGTAAAGTTCCGTAAGAAAAAAAAAAAAAAAAAAAAAAAAAAAAAAAAAAAAACTTGGGAAGAAAGACAAGTTCCTCGGAAAAAGTCGCTCGTTTGGAAGGTGTAACATTGCCTGAAACTTACAAGCTTGACGTATGAGATTACTGAAATGAGGGCCCTTGTTATCAAAAGGAATATAGTAGTAAGATGACAATGATTTTGCCAGATATTGATTATTTGATCTAATGGCTTAATTTCATTAAACTGTGCGGCCCATAGTTGATGAAGAGCTTAATTAAGAAAGTTCATTACTGAAACTATTGGTATTACATTCTTTATAACTATATAAACTAAAGTAACGAGCATATCTCTATTGTTTACCCTTCCTCTCCTTTGCACTCACACATATATATATACAAATATATACCTGACAATCCTATTTATTTTTGACACAGACTGAAGTGATGGAATAAAATAAAACCATTTACATAACACGTTATACATAATGATAACTTCTATAGAGAAGGTTCCTCTTTTTTGTTGTTATCAAATGACTCTGTAACCAAGACAATGAGAGGTCACATGTTGTCAATTGGTCATGAAAAGATGGAAAAGCAGGGAAAAACGACTGTAGGATTGGTGTAACAATAATAAGCAAAAAAAGATGACAAGCGACTATTTAAACTGATTAATCATGCCACATGGATATTATTCATTGGAAACCTTGCCTTCCCTATTGTACCTGTTACTGTTGTGTGGAGTGTAGATACAAAGCAGAGGGCGGAGGCTGTAATTCTTTGTGTTCCTTTCGTTGTCACAAAGCGTGTGACTTTTTTAAACCCTTGATCCCTTTCATACTGAAAAAATGAAGAAATAAAATCAACGAATAAAACTATAGCAACTGTAGGTTCTCTCTTGTTCAAAATCATTTCTATAGTAATATGAATGAGTCCTTTTATTATAAAGTGACAGTTGTATTATGTGACAAAATCACATAGTAATAAACGGGTGATCAGCTACTGTGCTCCTCGATCTTGAACATTAATTTTTTGTGTACCCTCAGCATTCTGAAAACAGACGAATGAGCGGCACCAGTAATAACCAGTAAAATTCAATTGCTCTTTCTAGATATACATATATATTTATATATGTATACACGTACTTAAATCCGCCTTCCCCTAGCACATACAAAGAGCGAGATGGGGGACGCATTTGTATTCAGGTCCATAAAAGGTAGGGGGTCATGCCATTCAATGAGTACAAGACTTTTGTAGGGTTAAATTTCCAAATTAATAAAATTGGTTATCATCCGAGATTAGACTTTTACATCAATCGCCGTTTCTATGGTAAACAAATTAAAAAATTTTTTTCTTGACAAACTGAGTTAAACCGGATCATGTCTATAACAACGCACAGACAGGATGCTTTACTTTTTTCTTTTTCCTTTTCTCTTTTTCTTTTTGTATATTGAGTTTTTTAAATAAACGCAAGAAATCATCAGTTACCCTTTTTTTAAAAGGCACTCTTTTTCTATTAAACCCCTTCTTTTTAAATATCTATTAAAAAGAAGCTTCACTTTCTTCTCTTGATTATATACTAGCCATCATGCCTCTTGAAGATTCTCTCTCTCCAAAAGAGACCGTCATTAATGTCAACAATGACAAGCCTGCTTCTGCACCAGTGGTAGAAGACGCCTACGAGCTGAAAGGACAATCTACAGCCATTGACATGCCTCCTACTACCAATGAAAAGGTCGAAGATGCCTCTACAGACGATGATGATGACCATTTAAAGAAAAAGGAAGGACGGTTCAAGAGATTTTACCGAAGACATAAGAAATGGTTCCAGTAAGTCGTTTTTTTTTTTTAAAAAAAGGGAGGAACCAAAAAATTAATCATAAAATTTTTTTCAAGTCTCTGTTACTTTCTTATTTTTACCGGATATCTTGCCGCCTCTTATGCTCTTCAAGTGCCAAAAGGATACAATCAAGAGAACCTTGTGTTGGGTTTAATCTATGCATTCTTTTGTCTAAAGTTTGCTTTCAAATATATTCCTACAACTGTCGTGACCAAACCATGGAATGCCTGTATTCGTACTATAGCCAAACCTCTCGAAAGAGTTCCCAAGTATATTCTTCATATTGCTTATGGTTTCTTTGTTTTCGCCGTCATTGTCATCACCGCCTTTAGCTTACCAGAAAGGCCAGAATCAACTCGTATTCAACGTCTGATTGCTCTCTTTGGTTTGATTGTCTTCTTGGTTGTCTTGTACGCTTCCTCCAACAACCGTAAAGCGATCAATTGGAACACGGTCTTTTCTGGTATGCTTATCCAATTTATCCTGGCCCTCTTTGTCTTCCGTTCCTCTGTTGGTCATGACATCTTCCAATGGGCCTCCAGATTTGCTCAAGGATACCTCGACAAAGCCACCAACGGCGCGGCCTTTGTCTTTGGCAATGCTGCAGTTCAATCAAACGTGTTTGCCATTACTGTTTACCCTGCTTTGATCTTCTTTGCAGCCACTGTGCAGATATTGTACTACATCAATGCCCTTCAATGGGTCCTTCAAAAATGCGCGACTATCTTCATGACTCTCTTCAAGATGTCAGGTGCCGAAGCTGTCGTAGCTGTGGCCTCTCCTTTCTTGGGCCAAAGTGAAAATCCTTTGCTTATCAAGCCATTCTTGCCCTACTTGACCATGTCTGAAATCCATCAGGTCATGTGCTCTGGTTTTGCTACCATTTCTGGTTCTGTGCTCTATGGTTACATGACCATGGGTATCTCGGGTGAAGCTCTGTTGACGTCCTGTATCATGTCTATTCCTTGTGCTATCACCGTTTCTAAGATGCGTTATCCCGAAACCGAGACACCAATGACTGCAAAGACGGTGCGTGTGCCTCCTAGCGATGACCGTCCATCCAACTTGCTCCATGCTGCTGGTAATGGTGCTGCAGAAGGTATTCATATTGCCTTGCTCATGACTGCCAATTTGATATCCCTTCTTGCCTTACTCTATGCCGTCAATGCACTCTTAACCTGGGCCGGTAACTTTTTGACAATTCAAGATCTCACACTTCAATTGATCACTGGTTATATCTTTGTCCCTGTAAGTAAATGACGAATAATTATGGGGATCAGATAACTTATATATTATTTAGATTGCATGGTTGATTGGTATTGAAAACAGAGACGTCGTCGCTGTCGGACAGATTTTGGCAACCAAGATCTGGGCCAATGAATTCGTAGCCTTCCAAGCTCTCACAACAACCTACAAAGACGTCTTGACACCACGTTCTGTCATCATCACCACTTATGCTGTCTGTGGGTTTGCCAACCTTGGTAGTGTAGGTATGCAGATCAGTGTCTTGAGTACTTTGGCCCCAAAGCGTAATGGTGATATTGCTAGTATCGCTGTCTCTGCTATGCTTTGTGGTGCTCTCTGTACCTTTATCTCTGCTTCCATTGCTGGTATGCTTATGTATTAAAATACCATCTCCTTTTTTTTTTTGTGTGTGCATTTGCATATTTCCTCCCCTTTTGTATTTTAGCTATTGTAATTTTATAATAAATCATGTATTTCTAGACAAGACAATCTAAACGTGGCTTTTTGATAGTCTTTTTTTTTGGGTTGAAGATGGAGTTTGAAAAATGGGGAGGGGGGTGGCAAACAGAGAGAGTGACAGAAAGGAGTGAGAGAGACAAAAAGGGCAGGAATTGAGCAAAAAAGTTTTTTTTTTTAATTATAAATGTTTCGCTTTGGTAAAGCCCTTGTTCAGCATGCCACATTAAGGGCTCCTGCTGTTACAGTTCCTCGATTATACCAACCTGCCAAAGCAACCAGCATTGATTCTTTAGTAAGTCGATTCCATCAGCTACGATTCAATTCTACCAATGGTTCAACATTTGTCAGTGGATTCAATACACAAGGCAATGCAGTGATTGACAACATTCAGTCTTCTGCTCTTCCTTCTAGTCAGTTCAAGACCAAGAAACCAACGACACCCGGTAAGCGTTGGTTGAAACGAGTACCCCGTGATCATCTCTACAAGGGTAAAGCTGTTCGAGCCTTGACCGTCGCCAAACGAAGCACAGGTGGTCGTAACAACACAGGTCGTATCACGATCCGTCACCGAGGTGGAGGTCATAAACGACGTATTCGTATTCTAGATTGGCACCGTCAAGAAACTGGCACACAGACAGTCGTTCGATTAGAATATGACCCCGGACGTACAGCCTGGATTGCTTTGTTAAGACACGACAAGTCTGGAAAATTGAGCTATATTGTAGCTCCTCATGGATTGAAAGCAGGCGATCAAGTAACATCATATCGAGCCATAAAGGATCAAGAGGGAGATATTACACGTACGGTAGCTATTGATGTAGGTAACTGTATGCCCCTCAAGATGGTCCCTGTTGGTACAATCGTTCACAACATTGGTTTAAAGCGAGATGGTCCTGGTGTGATGGCAAGAGCAGCAGGCACCTATGCTCAATTGATTCAAACAGGAGAGAAGGGATACGCACAGGTTCGTTTGTCGAGTGGAGAAGTTCGTTTGGTGCCTGTCGATGCTTGTGCTACCATTGGCTCTGTCAGTAATCCAGATCATCAACACGAAATGATGGGTAAAGCAGGAAGATTAAGATGGATGGGTATTCGACCTACTGTCCGTGGTACAGCCATGAACTCGGTTGACCATCCTCATGGTGGTGGTAGAGGTAAATCAAAGGGTAATAAGGATCCTAGATCACCTTGGGGTGTATTGGCAAAGGGTGGCAAGACAAGAAAGACACCCAATCCATTTGTTGTTAAACCAAGACCAAGACGTTAAACCTTTGTTTTTTTTTTGTTGTTATTGTATAGAAATAAAAAATATAAACCATTGTTAACCCCTTTTTTTTTCTCTTCTTTACACAATGTCTTTTCAGGATCAAAATAAGGCAAGATTCTTCCTTCTTCGTTCAGACGTCAGTAATGCGACACAATTACCATATATCTCAAGTGCACAAGAAGAGAGGATATCAAAAGAATTGATACCATTAGCTGCAGCCATCTTGGTAGCAAATGAGCAAATGCCGTCAAATAAAAGGAATAACAACAACAATTCAAATGATACAGACAGCCTAAAGAGCTTTTCGTCATGGTTATGTTTTGATGAGGAAGAAGAAAAGAAGAAAGATAATAATGAACCTGTTTCTTATCAAGATAAGAAAGAATAAAAGCTGCTTTTAATCAAAACATCAAAAGGGTATTAAGGATTAACGAGTAGTCCGGTATTTTCATCTGCTTGATCTTGTTGGCTCTTTTTACACAAAGACTTCATCCTTGTCCACCAACCCTTTTTTCTAATATATGATCGATGAGCTCCTGCTTCGTCCAGCGAAGAAGAGGAAGAAGAATGACCACTTGGCTTTAAGAATGGATGAGACTCATCCGATGCAAAGGATCTTGATGTGAGTTTGGGGGAATCTGGCAAAGCAATAGGTGACTGTACGGATATCACGAGCACACCACATACTAGGAAAAATATTCCAAAAAGAACAGCAACAATTTGCCACCAATACAGTCTATCCCACTGATTGTAATAGACAAGACCATTGAATAGACACGAGACATTAAATGAGCAAAAGTTGAGAGGAACAAGGATAATAGTGTCGCATAGTTGTACACCTCGATTTAAATAATACAACTATTAAAGATGGTTCATCATACTGTTATATGCTTTTTTTTTTGCTTACTTGTAAAATAGCAGTAAATGCAAGCGCAAATACAATGACCCAAGTGAGCGGGTACACAAATTGATTGTCATGATGAAATACAGATAAAATAAGCAATTCAAGCCCACTCTTGGCAAACAACATGGCTTGGCTACTGATATTTGCTCCCAATACACCATAACTACACAATTAAATTATATTAATACACTCCCTCTCCTTATTCAAATAATAAAACTTGTAACCTTATACCGAGATATTTTCTTAAATCAGGAGAGTAACGTAATGGCTGAACCTTGACGAGATGTTCCATAATATGAGTTGTAAGCAATCCAAAAAAGGTAAATGATTCCAATAAGGCAAAATAAACAATAAATGAAGGTCGCTTATAGAGCTGTATCAGATCCTCCAGGCTATGGTTGGGCTCAGGCACAACCCCAAAACCAGCAATCAAACTGGCTCCTGAAAACACAAGACTGGTTCCGATCGCAGTTCGTTTGGTGAACGGGTCGCCGAGAATCCAATTGGCAAAGATGGCATTAAACACAAGCCCGATGGAACCTAATGGAGCTAGAATGACAATGGGTAAATAGCCGATGGTGCAAGTAGATGCTATCAAGTTGGAAATGGTGTAAATCAGGAAACCAGAGATCCACAATGGTCGTTTATAAACTGGTATAGACACATCTGCAATAAGGTGAGATTTTCTCTGTAGAGAAATTCCAAGCGCTTGAGTCATGTTTGCTATTAGAGCAATCACTAAGGGGCCCCATATGTCGATAACAAACATCGGGAATAAAGAAAACAGAAAAACAAAAAAAAAAGAAAAGAGACAGAGAGAAAAATTTATTTTATACTTAATTTATGCTTGATGCCAATAGGGTTGCTGCTGTTGTCTTATGTACGGAGGATAGTTTGTTTGTTGATGGCTATATGGATAATAGATACCATTGGTTATAGGCTGAGATGGGTGTTGTTGAGGTACTTGTTGCTGCTGCTGCTGTTGTTGTTGTGGTGGTGGTGGTTGTAGAGATGGTTGTTGTTGTGGCTGTTGTACATTATTAGGCGTATTAGTACTATTATTACTATTGCTGTTATTATTGGGTTGATCTTTATTATACATCATTTCATTGTGTGATACCACTGGTGCAGGATGGTGAAGTGGTGCTGCTGCTGCAGGCTGTGGATTACTGTTGTGATTGCCATTAGTGTATTTATGGTCATAGTGTGCCATTCCATGATACTCTTCATAAGTAGGATATTCAAAAGTTTTACCGCCATAGACAGGATATTTATAGTAATTGTTATTTTGGGGTTGATAATTAGGATAGTAATAATAAGAGTAATATGGATGTCCACCGTATTGAGTTGGTGGTGGTGGAGGAGTACTGTTGTCTACCATCATTGTCTGCTGTTGTGGCACAGGGGGATGGTGAGCTGGAGGGTGGTGAGGATGAGGTGGTACTGTGCTATACTTGTCTCTGAACAGATGGGCAGATCCGACTGAAGGTGAATGACCGTATGGGTCATAGTATCCCTATAAATGACAGTCAGTCAATAAACACACACAAGATAGTCATTTTACCATTCTTTGTGTATCATTAGAATACACCGTATTATATTCTCCACCTGTATATCCAGCTGCTGTATGTGGTACATAATATGGATTAATATATGAATCAGCTACAGGCTGTTGCTGTGTTTGTTGTAATGGGTAATTGAATCCTACGAGCCCCGCCATAGGCAATGGTGTTTGTTGTTGTTGTTGTTGTTGTTGTAAAGGATGAAGCTGGTTGACAGGTAGCGGTGGCTGTGTGTTTGCTTGTTGAGCCACATGCTGAGCAGCTTGGACTGAGGATGGTTGCGCTACAGATTGGAATGAAGGTAGTTGTTGTTGCTGTTGCTGCTGTGGCTGTAGCTGTGGTTGGGGTTGGGGCGTTTGTAATTGTTGTTGTTGCGGTAATGAGATTTCTGGCTGAGGTGATTCCTCTTTTTGCTGTGGTACCTGCTCAGTGACAGTCTGTGTCACTACTTCATCATTACTCTCTACTTCCCTTGTCTTCTCGTCTTCCTTTTCGTCAACCTCGGTACTTTCTTCACCAGTAGAGATGGTAAGGCTACCAAATTGGACATTTACAGAAGCTATAGGCGCAGATTGATTTGTAGGCAAGACGACAGCTTCGGTTTGGTTCAATCTTCGAATCGTACGGTGAACCTGTATGACCTTTTCTTCTTTCACAACTCTAGTCTTTTCCTCCCGAGACTCTTGATCTTTTCTAACTTCTTGTTCCTTTTTTACTTCTGTTGGTTCTTCTATTTCCTTTGTCTCTTCTTCGTCTTGCTGTTGTTCTTCTTCATTTACAGCTTCCTTCTTTTCTATTTCATTTAATGTGTCTGCCTGTTCATCGATTTCCTTTTCTGGTTCTTGTTCCTTCTCTGTCGATTCTTGTTTAGTTTCCTCGGTTACTCTAGTTTGCTCGTCCTTTGCTTCCTCCTTTTTTACTGGTTCTACTGTCTTTTGTTCTGTTGGAGGAGAGGAAGGTGGTCCTTTCAGGATACTTGCCCACGAAGGCTTTTGTGGCTCTGGATTTGCTTGGGGTTTTACTTCTTGCTTGCTGTTATTATTATTGTTATTATGCTTTGATTTAGCTTAAAAAGGAGAAAGGTTAATAAAGTTGTCTATATATTAGTCTCTATTTTTTTTTTTTTACTGCCAACTAACTTACAGGATTTTCCTTTTGATTTACTACTACGCGAGTCTAAAAAGTGGACGATTGAATGACAAGTAAAAATGACACTTTTATATACTTACCTCCTTTATTATTCAAGAATGGTTTCTTTTGTTGTACTGATTTTGTCTTCTTTGTCTTGACTTGACCCCACTGACTGGCGTGACCTTCTGAAATGCGGTTGATGGCTAGATCCAAATCACCTTGACATTCGTCCATGACAAAAAGTAAATCTTCTTGACTCCAACCGGGAAACAACTCAATAAGTGAAGACAAGTGCTGTTTATAGAGTGATTTGAAGGTCTTGAGATCATTTTGATTTTTGGATTGGTTTCGCTTAGATGGCATCTCTTTTTCTTTTTCTTTATTCTGGGGTTCTTTTAGATTATGGGGGAGAGAAAGAGAAAGAGAGGGAGAGAGAAGGTATGTGTGTGTGTGAAGGGAAAATAAAATTATATATAAATATATATATATATAAAATGATACTTTATATATACGTTATGTGCTGTTCTGAAATATATAAAAAGAAGGCTCTGCTATTGTATTTTTGGTGTTTGCCTAAAGAAAGATTAAAAAAGAGAAAAGAGAGAGAAAAAAAATTAAAATAGAGCACGCAAAGTAAGCAAACAGAGAAAGAGAAAGAAAGCGAAAACATCGGAGAAGTAAATATAATCAGTTTATTTCATAGGTTAATGGAGACACTTTACGATGTTCACCACGTATGAATATGTCTTTTCTTCTAGGCAAAAATCCTCTTGGTTTTAATGGGCTCAGCAATTTGCGTGATCGTATCATGTTTAGTTCTGCAGAAATCATTCTCAAGTGATCAGGGTTTGATCGGGTATCTCTGGTGTAGGCATTGGTATCTGGATTGAATCTAGGTTGTGTCGTTGCCTCTGATCTTCTTCTTTTCATTAGCTTTCTTGGTGGTGGTGGTAAGGGTATGATATGACGCGGTGATGTCTTTGGGGTGGGAGAAGAGACAACGAGCGATTTCTTTAGTTTTGCAATGGTTTCATTCCATACCTGTTGATCTATATTCGATAGTTGAGGAGGTGAGGAAGAGATCGCATAGGATTGTGTAGTAATTAATGAACGTAAGAGATGAGTATCCTGCTGTATCTCGCTTAGTGAAGGTGGAGGCATATGTAGTGGTAATACATGAGTCAACGAAAAATCAGTTGATGAATTAAGCTCTTCTTCATCTGGTATAGACTCTTTACTGTCCACCACAACCCAGTCTTCTACATGGGACATACGGCGTTTGATCGTCCTTTCTTGCTGAACTTTCTTTTTCTTTTTACGTTTATTATTATTTGACATTGGCGGAATATTGCCATAGGGCTTTGTATTTACTTGCGCTGCAAGTTGTTTGATAAGCTCTTTATAAGAACGTTCCTTTGATTCATTAAACGTATTATTATTGGTAGTAAGAAGGGTTGAAGGAGGAGATAACACGTCCATGATAGCAGGCATAATAAATGGGGTTTCTACAGAAAAAGAAAGAAAGGGAAAAAATAGAAAGAAAAAAAAAAGAAGTAGAGGGCAATCATTTTTATTCCATACTCTTTTGTTCAACCTAAAAATTATCTATTTTTGTCTCCAATCACGAAAACTCATTCCGGCCTCTTTCCATGGTGTTGGTGATTTATGCGTAGCGACACTTTCTATTTTTGAATAAGACTCTTCCTGCCTATCCATTGACAAATAAAATATCACAACTGCCATGAGACCAAAACCACCCAAGATACTTCGCCTGGTCCATAGATGGGTATCAATTGTTGTCGTTGCTGTCGAAGAGGGATAATGCCTTATGAGAGGTTGCTTTGGTATTGTCTTGTGAGTTAGTACTTCATAAGCATATTTGATGTCTTTAAACCTCGCTGTGGTATCCTTTAGCTTGGATACATCCGGATGATATATTTTACATAGTTCGAGGTAACGTTTTCGGATTTCCTTTTGGGTAGAATACCTTCCAACTCCTAAAATCTCATAAGGTGATTTGTCATTTATCCCCATCCAAATTTTATAAAGAGAAAAAAAAAAGAGAGGGACAAATGTTGGTGGACTTTTGACTAAACATGGGCAAAAAGTTTCTAGGCCAGCTGCCAAATGATATTTGTTTATTTGCTTCTGTTTCAACAAGTTACCAACATCTTGAGCATCACTCTAGTAAATACTTGTTTGATCACAGAGCTTGTCTACAGTGCAATCACAACATGATTAGACCAAAGAAGGCCTATGTTTACATAAATGTGCTTGTTTAAAAAGAAAAATATAAAGTATCATTAACTGCTAGCATGACTAGTCATTCAATAGCTTTACTATATCCATTTGTTATTTGAATGACGGATAATCATTTTTCGATCATAGCACACGTTTTGGCTCTTTTCCTCTTTTGTGCACAGCTTTCTTTTTTCTCTTTTTCAAATAAGCTTTTTTTGTGTCATACAGTTAAATGTTAAGAAAGGGTCCATGCTAAAGGCCAGTACTTTCTTTCATGTGTGTTGCAAGAGCTGACTTCTTTATAAACACTCTTAAAAACAGAACAGAGGACTTTCTAATGTATCATTGGCATCTATTGGGTTGCTGTCTATGAAGTCGATGATATACTTGGAATGCTTCACCTTGAGCTTGCTTCTGTTACCCTTCTTTTCTTCAATAACCTTTTTCAATAAACACTACACCACCACTTTTTCATCCCATTCTTCCATCACTCTATAGGCAACACCCTGTTCACCACAGCTGTTCTGGAGTATAACTGTAATATAGTTTACCCTTTCTTTCTCTTTTTCATTTTCTATATCACTTGCGCTGCCTTTTATACCTTGGTTTTATTCAGCCTTAGTATTCATTTATTGGGAGTGAGATTTTCGAACAGTGAGTATGGGTAAAGTATCCGAGGTATAGCGTTAACGTATATGGATCCAGTGTCCGGCAAGAAATAAACGCCGGCGACATTGTTAAGCAGAGCTTTTATGTGGACATTGTCAAACGTGTTTCGGTCTCCGTGTTACAGCCCTTTCACTCTTAATTGAGCGATTTTTTCCTTTTGTAGTCAAAGTGACAATAATCTTCAACTTCAAAAAGAAGCATAGCCATAATGTCATGAATAGATACATTGGGGATTGTATGTAGTTAACCCAGGTCCTGTGTGGTCATCAAATTCATTAGCCTATGTTCTTTCTCAACATGTGTATAATAAAAAAGATTAAAGATTCTCTGCAAACGCGGATAAAGATTATGCTCTACTGCTTATTAAATCATTCACCCATAAAAAAACCCATTGAAGTTGTTGGCTGTGTGTTGCTGCCGTATTTCTACTCTTATATAAAAGAAGATAAGCCAAAGCCCCCCCCCCTTTTTTTTTATTAACACAATACATCACATTAAGCCCATAACGCGAATATACAGCGGCCATAACTTATAGTTATAACCGGTTGACAGCATTTCTGGCATATAAAGATGAGTATCTTTTTTTTTCTCTGCTTATAAAATGACTACAAAAGGCTTTATTCCATCTTATCATATTCTTATATTTCCAAAGTCATAAACCGCCAAACTTTCTGGAAAGATTGGATTGCTTTTCTTAATAACTCTAATGATTTCCATCCCTACAGGTAAACGTTTCTCATAAGAAAAAAAAGGGGAGATATTAATTTGTTGAAGTTTTAAAGATTGGAATCACACAACATCATTTGGTGCAGCAAAGGCGTGTCCCCACGACCCGCGCTTAACCGAGCAATATACAGGGATCACATAAAAAGCATGCCCTAGAAGAAGCACTTTCTCTTCCTTTGGGATGCATCCCGTACATCAATTCTATCATAGCTAAGTGTAAGAAAGTTTTATACGTTTGATAGATTCTATGTCATTTAACTCAACATTGATTATTTTGTTAGACGGATGTCGCGTAATACAAAGCTGCAATAAGAAGCATCCCTACAGCTGTAAATGGTGATCATCTGTTTGCCTTTGGCTTAGAGAATTTGTTTAGAGCAACGTAAAGTCGATATTCCATGTGTGTATATATTTTAGTGGAATAGTTTATCTCGGTCTTTTAATTGACACTGCTTTCATATCAGGTATGTAGATATCATCGATGGCGAGGTTCGTCAGTCAATGGTACACATGCATAGACACTAGGATATTGTTCCTTACGAGAAACCATACTCTGGTGATCAGTGTATTTCCCTTTCGCAGAGAAAATGTGGAACAAGTGAGCTCCTTTAGTTCCAAACGCTCTGTAGATTCTAGTTTGCAATGTGCTCAAGACGGGAGCATCATCACTATGGGGAGACAGGATGTGATTGTTCATCAATGACACTCTTGTTGCTGCATTCACAGCTTGAGCATAGGACATATTTTTCGTCTTGTTAACGGTAGGAGAGAAGATAAGCTCCGTCGGGATGGTGAGGAATGAGAATTGGGAAGAATCATGATGGATTCTATACTTTACAGAACACCCCTTGACTTTTTACTTCATTAGTTTGCCTGAATCCTTGAGATAGGACCTATTTCACAAGCAATAGAAAATAGTCAAGCACCAAGAGAGCTCCATGAAGGAGTAGACAAGTTCAATTATAAATTAGCTAATTCAGATAATTAAGAGAATATGTATAAATATAGTAGACTATATTGATTCAAAGGTAAAAATATATTGATTGATAATCGTAATAATAATGTTAATGATTATATTATATTTTAGTGTAGATATATTTTACATATTAGCAGTAATTAGGATAATTAACATGTGTAGGACAGCTACCGTATGCACAAGCAGATCAAAACATAAATTGTTCGCAGCAGTGCCTTCTTGATCCACCTGTTTTTATACATGCTTCAAACAGATAATCCTGGCAATCTTTTCTTGATTTGTCATTATAAGTGCATGTTCCCCACAAACCAGTTAAGCCTGCCAATCTGACGACAACTTTCTTTTTCTCCTTTGCGAATCCATTCTTTCAAACTGTCATGTCTGCACTAACACCATCAATATTAAAGTCCATACCTATACCCCAATCTAGCACATCGATATGTCGATGTAGATCTTCACTTGTTCCACTACTTCCGCATGCTTGATTGCCATTATCATATATGCAACAATACATGTCTGTATTCCTGGAATTTTTGCTAGGCTTCTCGAATTTACAAACAGTTGCCACTAGAGCATTCGCACAAATGCTCCATAAAATAGCTACATAAAGGTAAAACACTATTCTAAGCTCCATTCTAATCATAGCAATATTTTATAACACACGCATCCTCCTATAGCAGGAAAAAGAGCTGGACTTACATAAACTTCACGAATTTTCATCAGCAGATTTTCAAAGCTTCTCGTTTACTAAAAAAGAGCCAGATCAAAAAAGAAAAAGAAAAAGGAATCAGATTCAAGGCAGCATAATTAAGTACAAAGTAGCAATCGGGACAAAAAATCCGAATTTGTTTTACCTGGGAGTTGCACAAATTTAAAATCATGATCAATCATGTAAGCAGCTCATCTACAGTCAGACCTCGATTCTGCCATAAACCCAAGTGGGTAGGAGCTTAGTGTTTCTGTATTAATATAAAACGACGCTGTTTGTAATAATGAGCTCTCCTTCGTCTTAATTTACAATAAAGATGTTATATAAAGAGTCATCGACACACATTCCCCTTTTTACTTCTTTATTTATTCGAGGCATATCACATATATACTTTAACAAAGGTACGAGGCGTTCTACCCAAAATGATCTTTCCTTGTCCTTTTAAAAGCTCAGAGCAAAACACATGGACCAAGATTTCGTGAGGCAACATCCAAATAGGCGGAAGAGTTTTTCTTCATTCGACGTGACATCTTGAACACTGCGAGTAGTGCGTTCTGCTACTCAGACTTTGTTGGGAAAAGCCTTTATCTACATCCACGTTACTATCACTGTTTTTTGTAAGCAGATCACGAATTGAAACCAAGACACGTGGGTAAGCTGCAAACCTAGCAAGCTGAAACTGAGCATGTTGCTCATGGCGCAATACGAGTCGAGTCGTAACAGTAATATGTGCTTCGGGTACACATGACAAGGCCAAAAAACATGATTTTGATAAGATCGCTATTTGTTGCGCGCTAAGCTTTGGTTGCTAAGGAGTGTGATTCATTCTTGCAATGTTAAAGGTGGGAAGTTCAACAGAATCCAGGCACTATGCAATAAAAAACCAGTCAGCAAAATATCTGATAATTCGTTATGTTGTCTATTTACCTTTGCCCACCAATCGTCACCTTGATCATCATCCGATGGTGCTTGATCACAGTTAATAGGTGCTTGCGTACCTGTGCTTTCTTCTTGGTCAAAGGTAATGCATGTATCGAGTCGATCTTGTGCAATAGCAATTGATGCTGTCCGGTGTCCATCGTTTGTGGTCGAAGCCCATCTAAAAATATGTCGTTTCAGTGTCCTCGAATAATGGTTCGTTATTGAAAAAGAGCATTCAAGTCGATGGCTTGCGAATTAAATTCTTTGTTGAAAAGAAGGGAGGAGTATTATTAAATTAGGTTTGAAGAAAGATTTTATGGGGGAGATTGAATGTTGTCAGTATGATTTAAAGTGGTCAATTTGATTATTTATCATTGTTATCAGTACGCTTATTCTTATTCTTCATCAGATGCGATAGAGAAATATAAAGTAGAATGTGTGCTCTATTGTAGATATAGAGTATTATAATAACTTATATCAAACACGTCATTATGTATGTGGTTTGTCTAGTGCTGTTTGCTGCGCAAATTGGACGGCTTACGTCCATATTGCGTAAATGCTGTGCAAATTGGCTGTGTAAGTAGTAAAACCCAAAAAAGTGGGAGATCCAGTAGAAACTGGAATAATGAAGCGGGAACGGGGAACATATTCACAGAACCATATTCCAGAATCGCGATTACTTCAAGATAGAGTATGACAGAATCGAGGTCTGACTGTAACATGATTAAACCAAGGAAGCCCTATTTTTACATAAATGTGCTTGTTTAAGAGAGCACGTACGCTTTTAATCTGTTGTGTATCGTTCATTAGTTATTTGCTACTTGGGTGACGAATAATCATTTCTCGGCCATAGCACACGTTTTGGTTCTTATCCTCTTTTGTGCACGGCTTTCTTTTTTCTCTTTTTTCAAATAAGCTTTTTTTGTGTGTCATACAGCCGAATACTAAGAAAAGATTCATATTATTACTAGCCCGTCTGAAGAAGAAGAACACGGCAGGATTTTCAATATAGAAATCGCTAATCAAAATTAGTGATGGCCCATGTATTCGAAGGGTTTTCTGTCTACAGTTGTTATTATCATTGCTGTAAAAAAGAGAGAGCACGGATTTTTTTCCTTTGCGCAAAGGTTTAATTTTAAGAGTGCATGGATAGAAATAGCAATCCTAGGTGTGTTACTGTATGCTGATCGACGTCGTTCTTGTATTTGACATGACCACGTTTAAACCTGTTCTGTCAATCCGATCTCTTTTTTTATATATATTTTGCCGTCTTTCCTTCTCCGATAAACCTTATGCTTTTACATTCTTATTTGTTTCTTACAACACATGAATATTAATCGGATCGAATGTACTCTCCGTTCACTCGTACTAACCTAATTTGATATTCAAAGCTTGTGATTTCTCTGAGTACAATTTATAAAGTTCACGAGCCACTTCGTCTGACTGTGGAGTTCATATGACAGGTTGTACCTTGACAAGCTTATCAAACAGACCCGATGAGACTTTACACATTTCGATTAAGCTATTCAATGGCGGATATCCCCTGATTAACGTTTGAGGAAAACTTTTTATATATCCGAAAGGCTTATATGGCTTTGTTAGCCAAAGTTTTCTCAAATGACAATCCTGAAAGAGAGAGAGAGAGAGGTCCTGTGGTCATGATCTCATAAGAAAATAGAACACTATGCTGCCCACTGACATTGCATACACAGCCCTGTTCCAGTGCATCGGAACATCGGATGTCAGATGACTGTTACAAAAAAAGACAAGCTGTCTTGCACCATCTGTTACTCAGCTACGAATGCGCCTTTTTACCAGAATGATTGACGTTTGTTTGGTATGTATCATTATAATAATAAAGCATACATTTTACTTTTTGTATCAAATGACAAGTCATAAACTCTTTTGCTGTCGGCTTATAATCTTTTACTGTAATGCAAAGTTAAATACAACGCAGTAAAATTATAAATGATAAATATGTTCACTAAATCGTTAATACTAAAACCAGAAGAAAATCACTATACCGCAACGGTAACAGAATTCGTTAATGGAAACAAGTGTGATGTTTATATGCACCTCATAGTCCGCCATGAGCAGGTTTCCATCTGTGCTTATAAAAGTACAAAACTAAGCGGATTTCTCTACTGCACACTTGTGTATGAGAGATACAACAAATATCGTTTAAGCTTTTTTTTTGGGCAAAAGCATATCATTTCATCCAACCATTTAGTCGCGCGCACGGTGACCGATCCTTTACTTTTTCTTTGTGTTTTGTCAAACATAAAGTTATGCGCACAGAGAAGATTCATAAATCTCTGTGCACACAGAACCTGTGACTCCATGTTGATTCTATTTACTGTACACGCAACAAAGAATTAAGTCATACATTAACAGTGGTACCTTTGGATAGGACAACCTTGTCTTTTTTTTTTTTTTGGGTCATTGATGTCGGAGTGTATATCGTAAAGTATACCCCAAGTCGAGCTATTTTGTAATGGAAAATTATCTCACGGTGACCTAATATCAACAAAACCCGTTCAAAGAGAGAGGGGAAAAAAAGAAGGGAGGGAAAAAATAATGACATGATTCTATGAAACACTCAGACACGCTTTTTTTTTCTCCCTAGTTTTGTGATCGTTACATGATGTACCACACCCTGGAAGCAAAAAACTCGGAATTGAATGGACAAGGATTGATAATATCTTGAATGTATTTGTCAGTCATGGATATATGATGTATATAACAAGGGTATTAAAGTTGTTCGGCATAATTGATGACCGACAGTATAAATAGAATGAACGTATGAAAATAAAATTAATGCAACTTTCTTTTTAGTATGGAATTGAAAGGATCTTGTCACTGTGAAAAAGTTCACTTCAAATTCATCTCTCATACACCGGCACCCGTAAATAGAATAAAAGAAAGAATAAATAGACTATTAACCATGCACTCTAGTTTATGCGATGTTATTGGTAAAAAAAAAAAAGAGGATATAGTTGGAAGACACTAACGGAGAATGAAAAGCTCCATATGCCGTAAATGCCAAGGTGGAGGAGGTTACAGTATTAACATTATGGGAGAAGTAAGTGGTATTATGGATTATATAAATATAAGAGAGGGGGACTAATGATGGCTTTAAAGTACAAGACACTGGAAGTAACCAAGGGCAAGGAGTATTTAAAGTAAGCAGTTTCATATTGATAATACACGTATGAGGGCTCACCTTTTATAAATATCCCCAGAGGATACCAAGCCTTGAGAGACAAAGAAAAAGGAGAATTGGGGTAAGAGAAAGATGATGCAATCCTATGGGTCATTTCTGATAAGAAAATAGCGGAAACATTCGTTACTTTTGTTCTGAATGTGGTTCTCATCTCTATGCTTATGATAAAAAATACGAGGAATGGTTTTATCCTTTTGCAAGTGCTATTGACACTGATCTTCCAGAATTAAAACCAGAAGAGTGTTATCACATCCTGTTGAATTCCAAGGCCAATTGGGTCCATACTCCTTCTCATAACACGTTTGATATGTATCCTGATTGCTCATTAGAGGCATGGCACAAGTCAAATGGCAAATATATTTAGAACAAAAAAAAAAGGTTTTAATAAAAAGCTTAACTTTGTTCACAAACAAATACTTTACCCTTTATAGTCTTGCCGTAAAATGTATCTGGAAGAGGAACACATGCTGAACACACGCGAGCGCGACCGGGCGCGCTTTTTATTTTATTTTGGTTGGTGTAAAGATAACCATCGATAAAACTGCAACAAGCCCTTTTTCTTTAAGAATAACGTAGCTTGTATAAACTAAGCCTCTTTTGATAATCTATATACCAAACATACCACACAGACACACACAAAAAGAGAGAGAGATAAACATCGGAGTTTATTATCAGACTACACATCAGTGGGGATCATGCATATTTTGAAACTTTTTTTTTTGTCAAGAAAGGAAGGAAAGGGTTCCGCGTTTTGCTTGTAAATTTTCAAGATGAACAGGTCCCGTGTAACTGTTTTGTTATTTGGCGGGATTATCGAATAGTAAAGAAATATAAACAAAGTTATTTACACGTGAAATGTCTGTGTCCGATAAAAGCTTCGAAGGTCATAAAAAGAGACATAAGCTATAAAGAAGGATGTTACCTTATTTCGGAATTCATATGCAGGATAGTTGGCAACAGATATTCCGAGAATAGATAATAAAGTTTGACAGAAAGGGAGAAAGAAGTACAAATTCATGTTTTAAACTTGTATTCATGTTTATTATTGTTGTTTATAAATAAGTTTTTATTTACTTCTTTCTTTCTTTCTTTCTTTTTTTTTTCCTTATCTTTTTCCCCTTTTCTTCAACAATCCTTTTTTATAGCTTTTTTGTCTACAGAAACTATATAATTTTTTTTTCTTTTTGACTACTTTCCTTATATTTATGTCTACAATGTATTCAAGTCATAACAATCCTATGCTCTTCTCATTACCATCACCACCCATCTCCAATCATCGATCCACAACAACAACAACAATGATGATGATTGATCGTCTTACGAGACATGATGATAATGTAGAATTGAAACCATTTCTTTTGACTAAATCAAAACATGATGAATACTATCTACCACCAATCCAACATGTCTACACTCCTTCTTCCAGTCCCTTTGATCATTCATCGGAGTCAGCAAGTGAAGAAGATGAAGATTATACAACCCCTTATCGCAAGAACTCAATTGCTTCACTCTTGAATTCACCTACTCCACAGCCTGTACAGTTAAAGAGAGGAAGACCGCGTCAGGAGAAAACTACGCCTGTGGTGATGAAACGTCGTCGCAAGGAACAGCAAGACTGTTTATTGCCCAACGAATTCTTGCCTCGCGCTACAAAGGGTTTACGCCATTTTAGCAAGCAAGTCTGTGATAAAGTAGCCGAAAAAGGTGTGACTACGTATAATGAAGTAGCAGATGAACTCGCCATGGATATTCAAAAATCAATTGGCAGTGTAAGCTAACCTTTGCTTTTAATGATTGTATCTCATTCATGTTATAGAAGCATTCTTACGATCAAAAGAATATAAGGCGCAGAGTTTATGATGCGTTGAACGTACTGATGGCCATGAACATCATCACCAAGGACAAAAAAGTCATCAAATGGCTTGGTATTCCTGAATGCTACAACAGCAACAAGGCACCATCAAGAAACGAAGAGCAAAAAGAATTATTAAAGGAAATTGAAAAAGAAGAACTACGACAAAGCGAATTACTCCACTCTTTGCATCTGCTGCGCGGCGTCGTGAACGACAAAATAGCAAAACATGATCATATCAGTAATGTCATCTTGAGGAATCAACAGTCGCCTGAAAAAGACGAAAGCAGAAAGATCGCTTTACCCTTTTTCATTGTTCGATGTCCGTCCGTGAATGCTCAAGATATTCAACTATCTTCAGATCAGCATTCAGCTGTCATTTCTTTTATGAACGATGATAACGACCATCAGCATGTTATCATTGAAGATACAGAGGTGCTCAGACATTTGAACATCTAATTCGCGCGCGTGTGTACAAACAATACCTTTTTCCTTTTATTCATATGCCCTTTCATTCTTTTACATAACGCTCTTCCCTTTCTTTTTTATCAACTACCATGCCTATGTCATTCTTCCTCTCCCCCGATACATTCTCTCTCTTTAATTTATATATATATACACACACACAAACAACACAATTATATATAGCTCTTTTTTTTTTACATTGATTTTCTATGTGAATTATTCTTTTTTTTTTTCTTTTCTCTCAATAAAAATTGCAATTTTTAAGGTTGATTGATTTGGCCTACAACTAAATAGGTGTAAACATAAATATATGTATATATATCATAGACATGTGTCTATACATATAAATGTATACATTATATACAAACAAAGACGTATTTTTTATTGTAATAAGATGATAAGATACAAGAATAATAGATGTATAAACAAATTCTTCAATCCAGCAGCCATCTGCCTTCTCCATGATGATCATCTATCGTTGGTTGTGCTTGAGATGGATGAGTATAGTCAGGATGATGTGAGGTACTAGATGACGGTTGCTGCTTTGACATGTTTCCTATAAGGATTGAATCAGTATACTATTAATATTATTATTTATCTGCATGTACCTGGAAACCCAGTTACCCAGACAGCAGCTGCCATAGCATCAACAGAGGACTGTCGACTACTATGTTGCCTCTTTGAATAATGACTATTTGTACTATTTGGACTTGTTGTACTACTACTGTTGCTATCCGAAAAGCTGGGCTGTCTCTGATGATGGATGAGAGCAGCTGCCTTTTTGCTTTGCTGAATAAGTGCATCATCCTGCAAGAGAAAAGGTTCACCAAAGTTATTGACCAAAGACGATGTCTGATAATGAAGTGTTTGAACTTCGGATTCAAGAAAGAACTTTGACCACGGTCTCTGGGTAGAAGCCGAGGGTGCAGCCCAGCTGGTCTTGAGGACAGAGGCTTGCTTTGTTGGTTGAGGAAGAGGTAATTTTGTCTGATAGAGAAGTTCATCCTTTTTGTCTTCATAGAATGGAGGGTTATCTACCATAAAAATGTCGTACATGAGTGCTGCATCTTCTGTACTATCCAAGAATCCAACTTCCCTTGCGCGCGAGGTATGGCTCGTGCTTCCGCCACTGCTACTACTGCTGCTGCTTGTTGCTGTTGTGGCATGAGTTTGACTGTGTGGATGGTTATCCTCAAGGGTATAATCCTCAAATGTCTTGACCTTTTTAGCAACAGGCATATATGGATTAAACTGCTGGAACTGTTGACGTTTATCTGGCTGCTCGTAATAATCAACTAGACCCAAATTGTAATTCATGCTTCTTTTTTGTCCGACCATTGGTACGCTTGCAGGAGAAACGTACTTTGAGAATAAATACTGCTGCTGTTGCTGTTGTTGTTGTTGTATTTGCTGCATATGCTGCTGGTGTTCTTCAGCGCCCCTATGTAACTTGTCAAGTTGTTCTCGATCAAAGTCTGATATCGGTCGTTTATTCTTAATCGCTTCTTTTGAACAGGGACTAGGCGCCTCATTATGAGGCAAGTCCATATCTTGGACAAGTAGCTTATCCAAGGTTTTTTCAAATACGTTAATGTAAGAAAACTCTTTTAGAAGCTGAATAAACTGCGTAAGGAGCTCAGGGCACCTCTTGTTGGAGACACATGTAAAGAGGAAACAAACAGAATGTAAGACTGCAAAAGGAACACATTTTGTATCTGTCCTTGAGAGTATCTGATGGATGAGCTTGAGCATGTCTAGACATATTTCTGAACAAATGTCTTCTTCGTCGTCGATTGTGCTGTAGAGTTGGATGATTAGCATATGATGATACAAGAGAACAGCCTGTTCGAGAATCTCGAGTGTATTACATGGCTGTCTTTTTGGTTTGATAATAGAGTCAAGTGAATCCTAAAAGAGATATTGAACTTTCTAATATAACTTTGTTGGATTTTAATTTTACCTGGATTAATTTCAAGTCAGTTGATCTTCTTTCCAAAATAATTCGTTTCAGAAAGTCAGTATAGGCCTCTGTCATCTCAAACGCCCACAATTGGTTGTCATTTAGGCCAGTTGGTTTCATGCTTGCGTCAAGTTCACCAAAGTAGGGCCTTCTAAGGTGTACAGTGAGCCAAATATACCAAGCGTCCAGGGTCCTTAGAAGAGCTCCATTCAGATTACCTTTTGATTGAGCCAAATCAAGGCCCAAACGAATGGTCATGAATGCCTGTTCTTCACTAATTGCCATACACTGGAAATGAGCCAGTAGTACAGCTGCTTCAATCAAATGTTGGTTTTGTTCTTTTTGGTCTAGTATAGGAAAACATGAATCAATAAAATGTCGATGTGCCTCACGGTAGAATAGACGAGCATAGTTTTCGTCCAATGGATACAGCATGATAGCCAGCACACTGTAGACCAATAGAGATGACTGCACATCAATCCAGGGACCATAAAGTAAATGATGAGTGACAAACTGCTGAACTGCATCCTTCACCCAGGAATCGTGTAGAACGGAATCCAGCTTGTGTTCAAGTGCAATTGAGGTAATATCGATCGAATATGTCGGGATGTGAAAGATGTCGAGAAATAAGAGTGGACAGGATGTCCTGTAATTCTTGGTCCTGTAGTGATCATCTAGGAACTGAAGTTTATCTAGCATCACTTGGTGTCTATTGGACTTGCTACGTGGCCGAGTGGGTTTGTCACTATAGGTACACGTCGCCTTGTTGGATTCGCATCGCTGACATGGATTCTCTATAAAGATGATTTATATATTCATATTTATACTGGTTTCGAAAATAAAGGAAACAACAAAAAAGCTATAATTGTATACATTACTGCCGTCACATCGCATCTTTTTCGCTCGACACACTTCACATGCTTTACTGACTTTATGTCGCTTAAGAGGGAAATCGCTTGTTGAACAAGAGTGCCATCTGAATGTACCCGTCATATTAATTATGGAAAAGAAGAAAAAGGGAGGAGAGAAAAGGGTAAACAAAAGAAAAAGGAAAAAAAAAAATAGTTTATATCGTATGAAATAAGTAATGTTTGAACATCCTATTTGTTTATTGTACAAAGTACCCCTTCTGATAAGATCACAATAGTTTGTTTATTTTTCACAAAAGAGTAGAAGGGTAAAAAGAAAGAAAGAAAGACAAAAAGGAACAAGACGCTTTGACCCTCTTGTCTTGCTTGTTTCGTTGTATGTGTGTGTTTTTTTGTCAAAGTTAGTTTTTTTTGTTTGTTTGATGTTGTATCCATGTCTATTTTTTTTTTTCCCTTCGGCTCATTCGGAAACATTGTCTCTGGGTAGGACAAATTGACTTGCAACAGAAAAATAAAAGTTTGTTATTATAAACTAACTATGCATAACCATCCTATTATTCATGCATTTTATGTAAATTCTTTAACGTTTGTCTATTGTCATGGCAACAAATTATAAAAAATAAAAAATAAAAAATGAAGATCACTTGGACTCTTAGTTTCCCAGCATCCCGAACCGACCGTTGTATCATAAGTGTGTCACATGCAATGAAAAGAATGATGTTTGAATTACACTAAAAGTCGCGCGCCTCACTATGAAGTTGCAGGATCACAAAAATATAGGTCATAGTTTGCATATACATATATATATATATATATATATATATATATATATGCTTTTCAAACAGGGTTTATCTATATTCTTTATGCGTGATAACAGACCGGATGTAATATATATATACAGAGAAATGTGTGTCTCATCGAACTTGCCTGAAGAATGGTATCCTTTTTTGTTGATTTGTTTTCACAAAAGAACTTCCCTCCCTTTGTTATCATACTGTTGTCTTTTTTTTTTTTCCCAGATACCACTGAAAAAAACAATCAGGCAAAATTTAACAAAGTCTAATGCAAAGAGATAAAAAAAAGAAGTTTGCAAATCAAATCTTTCACATAATGTTTATTTGCGTCATGAACAAAGATGTTTTGATATTCCAGGTCCCCCTTTTTTAATGAATTTGTCTTGCTGGAGCGAGATTATCTTCGTTATTGAAACATTGTATCGCATCCAACGTGTTTATATATAATCTCTGAACACTATACATACGCTAATAATATCCTTAAATAATATTGAACAATGCGTACTTATGAAGTCTCTTTTTCAATAGCTACTACTCCACTGTCAAGGCTCAGTGTAACAAGTAAACAAACATTTTGGTACTATCAGAATAATATGAAAAACATTGATGTATGCTTGACAATAATTTATTGTTCAAATCATCTCTACATTTACACTCTTTAGCAAGTAATGATGTATGTTACACCTTCAGGGTATCATTAGAGTTCTTAACCACATGTAGTCCAAACCGCTTTCCCCTATTAAAGTACGTTTGCCAGACAGATGCTATAACCCATAGTCCCAGCACACTACAGAGCATACTGTATACTCTGAGGTCAATATGGTACGTTGTCTTATAGTACGGCCTAAATGTCAAAATATCTTCTATACCCTTGGAAAACCCTGTTCGGACGAATACGTCGAGCCCGAGAACGAATAGATAGGCACCAATAAATGACATGGACACAATGACCGCAATAAACTCGATCACAACAACGGATAGAGTAAATACAAGGGCAATCGACAAACTCGCCAAGTGCCTTGTGAGGGTATACCTGATAATAAAGTCATCTCTCCAGCACCACACGAATAATGAAAACATGTAACTGGCGACGCCTATTAAAAAAGCAGGTGTTAATTTATGCATCTTTTGTTTATCCCCTCTCTCTTTTTGTCTTACAGCATAACAAGTAAAGGCTAAGTTTCCAAAAGTATGATGTGGCTAAGCCAAAGAACAATCCAGCCCCTACACATGCACAAAGATAAACAGTAGATGCCATTGGATAACCGTGAACTGGCTCTTCTGCTCGTAAACTAACCCAAGTAACACCCGCTGATGGAAATCGTTGAATGGTCTAGTTCTTTTTTCTTCTTCTTTATCCTCTTACCTCCTAGAACAAATCCAACCATCCCCATTGTCACTGTGAAAAGAGGAAACCCTGCAGCCATAAAATAAACACCAACCATCATGAGTAAGACTGCTGTTGTGATGGCTTGAATAGGAAATTTGAGTGCAATATGAGTGTCTATAGAAAGAGGGATGAGTATCTAAAACTGCTGTCTATTTTGAGTTACCTGAAGTTGTCTTATGGTCTGACATCGCTGCATGTGTAAATGACACAAGATATAGACAGCATGAAAACAATAGCCTTTGATATCTTATCATAAAGAAGAGAAATAGCTACTTTTTACATCTCGTATTTATATACGGGAGTAAGTCAAACATACTACTATTTTTGAATGAATAATGAAAAAGAATAGGATTCATTGTTCTTCTAAAGTAACATGTTTATATTGAACAAGTTTTGGCAGTTTCCCATCCTCAGGAAAAGAAGCATAAAAAAAAACGAGACATAAAAATAGGATTGTCCCAAAAGCGCGATATTTGATTTGTTGGCACGAATACTTTGCTTTTCCTACAACAGTGCATGAATGATCACCTTGGCTTTCTTTCTTTAAAACAAACGCACAGGTAAGTCATAACTTATTATTATTTTCGCCTTCTGCTTTCAATCTTTTTATTTGTTTACTGATGCTGAACTAATATCGCTTTCTTTGGGAATTACATTACCTCCATCTTCATCTAAATAACCAAAAGATAAGAGTGAAAGCACTTGTAGCACGCTCTATTATGGCCCACACGGGGATAATCAACCGACCTGCAAAACAGTAGTGTAAGAACCTACCAGCGAGACACGTAGAGTAGCTGTCCTTTTGCCAATGATACAGCTTTGTCTTGCGACCATTTCACAATTTGGGCAGGTGCTTAAGACGAGATTTAGTGTATGAATCTCACTAACTTTTTAATACCAGTTTCTTTTGAATTACTCTTTCTTTTCCTTTCAGGAGGGAAGAGGAAGAAATAGTGATACTTCAGCAAGTTAGTTCAAGCTGACTATTTTTGAAGCTATTCAGAGATCACTCATTCAACAATTTCTTTTAATGCTTATGTTACAGTCATTTCAGAAAGTAAAGTCGCTCGTTTTGAGTTTGATGTCGTGCAAAAAAAATATGCAATTTTTTTACGAAGATGGATAAGGTCATGTTGTTGATAAGAACGGAGTTGAGCCTACGAAGCTTGTTATTGACGAGGAGCTATTCGCCATCGAAACAGTAAGTTCTCGTACCCAATTCCTGCAACGCATCTGGCCGTAGATGAAAGGAGCAATGATGTTGATATGGAGTTATGCAGCAAGCGATGCCGTACAGTTTACTCCGATGAAGACAAAACTAGATTTTTTTCATTTATTTTTCAGCAAATGCTTGAATGCTTCTGCTGCTGCGAAACAATTAGGTATTCATGTCTGAGCAGCTCAGAGATGGGTCAAACGTTATTACGAGGATCCTGAAAGCATCTTCGTGAAGAAGAAAAAGTCAGGTCGACGTCGTATTCTTGGGGAGAAACATAAACAATTTCTTTTAAATTACATTGATGAGAATCCTTCTACTGTTGTAACTGAAGTGGCAGAAAGTTTAACGCAAAACTTTGCGGATCTTAATGTTTCTCGTAGCACGACTTATAACTTCATGACAACTGAGTGTAATCTATCTATTAAGCAGGCACAATTCCAGCCTGTAGAAAGAAATAGCCAAGAAAGGATTCAATAAAGGCATGACTGGATACAAGAGTGGCAACAAACTGACTTGGATTTCACAACAAATTGCGCCTTTCTTGATGAAATGACTGTATATGATGCAGTTATCGATACCAAATTAAGCGCTTTACATGAATTAAACTCGCAAAAATTAAGGCAATCGTCTGTTAAATATAGTGTTAAACAAATTGAAAAGCGCGAAATGAGCCAATAAAAAAGCATAATTTATTTTTCAACTAGTGCGAATTGGCTGTGGCATTGTAAAGGCTTCTTTTTTTTAAAAAAAAATGTCAGATAAAAGAGAACCTCTAAAGATTGAATTAAAAAATTACCAGCCAACAGATGAAGAGAGACAAGTCATGAGATCAGCCATGTTTCGTTTTATTACTCCAAGTAAAAAGAATAATAATGGAGTTCAATGTGGCAAATGACTAATGATTTTCTTAGTGCTTTTGGGTGCTGCCGCATTAGGTTATTCTACTGCCGTTATAGGTTCGAAAAGCAAAATCATAAAAAATACGTGCAGATCTTTGATTATTTTAATAGGAAAGTCGAGAAAATGGAGATATTCTACAATAGCCACCTTTTGTAAGTTGTTTTTATTATACATATAACAAACAGTATTAATTGTATAAAAAGTGGGTGTGAACACAGGTATCCTATGTGGAGCCATGCTTGGAGCTGATAGAGGCATGAATAAATTAAGAGAAGGATTACCACAAGATTCAAAGCTGCTTGGTATGATACATCAACTGGACGAATTAAAAAAACAATGATTATTCCATGGATAAAGGCGATTTTGATTTTGGTACATGATATGTAGGCATAAACGTAATGACCGATTTTCGTCTTTGTGTGTCTGCTATATCTGACAGATGGGCATGCTTCTGACCGCCGATCACAGCTGTGATCCAGCCAGAAGCGATTCGGAACACTTTGGATGATCCCTCTAGTTTTGTCAGTTTTACGACTGCTGTGCGCTGATGTGGGTTATTATTTGAGAGTGAGAAGGATTCGACGATGAACATGGCGACACTCTCTTTTTGCCCGATATCGAGTTGAGATGTGGGTATAGAGGTGATAGTGTCCTTGATGACGACTGTAGACGTGTTGGGCTGATGAGGAAACATGCTTGACAGGACGTGGCTTGTCGCACGCTTGATCTTACTAAATCGACTGCTGCTTGCATATGAAGATTTGTTAAGGTCTGAGCTACTGGATGCATGACTCATGGATGTGGTCATCTCGGTTAATGACGGGTTCGGTGAGGGTGTCATCTTGCTGTCTTTTTTGAGTGGGTACATCCGAGGTTGGTGCTGTTCGACGTGGTTCAGGACCATGATACATGTCATCCGGTCATGTCTGTCCATATAGTAGCTGATGCCCATCATATCACAAGCATGGATAACAACCTTCATCAACATACATTCATCCTGCTGTGCTAAATCGCTTATACCAGGAAGGTAACGTACGACATGTTCTGGTGATAGTCTAAAAGAGTAATAATGCACCTGGTCCTTCGTCACTCGCTGATACAGTTGAGATAGGCTCATGTTGGACGTTGCCTTTCTTAACAAGGGCGGTGGTGGTACACTTGGTTGTTTCAATTTACGCATAAAATGTTTGATGGGTGATTTACTCGAACAGGGCTCTAGCTGAATGCTACGAGATAATTCATGGATCCGCTGAAGTAGGACATGTCGGATAGCCTCGCGGTGTGTATAAATATCCTCTGGATGAGGTGACGCAGGTACCAGTGTACTTGTGTAGTAGGTTGAATGCCCGGTAGGATGACATATGAGCGTTCGTTTCACCCTCTTCTTTTCTTCCTTGTCTATGGGTATATTTGATTCTATAGAGAACAAATCAGACAGTTGACCGTTTTTGTTTAGCCAAGCGTCGTCTTTTAGAGCTAAATGAATTCTCGTTCTTTTAGTCTTGTCAATGGACATGCATTTAGATATGGTCTGTTGCAATTCTTTACTCAGACTGTTGGGTATAGTGAAGTTGCCTGCTGTTACATCTCGTCTAAGATCACCGACAGCTAAAAAAAAGTAAGGAGGAATTAAAAAAGTTAAAAAAAAGAAAGGGAAGGATATTTACTTGTTGATTTAGAAAATGGTTCTTCGCCAACTGTCATCCTGTACAGAGAGACACCCAAGCACCAACAATCCACTTCGGGCCCGATGTATCCATGACCGTTGATGATCTCTGGACTATAGTACAACATGGAGCCACATATCGTCTTTAAACGCCTTCTTCCAAACTTGTTTCCCAATCCGAAATCTGCTATTTTCACCTTCATGTCATGAGTTAACAATATATTGGGTGCTTTTAGATCTCTGTGCACGACGCCCTTGGAGTGGCAATAATCCATAGCAGAAACCATCTGCCTAAAAATATCTCTTGCCTCATGCTCTGACAAGACACCATGTTTTTGGTGCAAGAATTCATCCAGATTATACCCATCAATATATTCCATTACAAGATATAGTGTATCCATTGTTTCATAGGTTTGGTATAATCGAACAATATTAGGATGATACAGCATTTCCATCAACGTTATCTCTCGGACGAGTCTTGACATGATACGGTAATCGTGAACCCTCTTATCGATCACCTTGATTGCTACCTTTTCGTTCGTCAGGTAATGGTTAGCGAGGATAACTTTACTGAACTTCCCTTGCCCGATTGGCTTTATGAACACATAGTCTCCAATGCCATTGAGATAACTGTCTGAACTAGGAGGATAAACTTTTTGTTTGGATGGCTTTTTGCCAATAGCATCGGGCTCTGTTACTGCTGTATGTATTTGATGGTTATTATTACTGCTTTGCCGTTTCCATTTCTTAAATTGATCAGTGACAGCATGAAAAGCCATTCTGCCCTGCGTGTGTGTGAATAAGAAAAAGAGAAGGAAAAAAAAAAGAGAGAGAAAAAAGTCGTTGTACGATATCACAAATGTAATTTAGGCCTGTGATTCTATTTCTGGTAAATAGCATGCTTTTTCTTTCTTTAATCGATAAAAATAAATATACACATTAAATACAGTCTTCTTTAATCCATAAAGAAGCCGTTCCTTGTTAGTGCAGATTCAAGGTGTTTTGGTACTTGGCTTGCCAATTCTTCTTCTCGTTTTTTGTCCATCTTTTTAGCTGTTAATCCACCTGCCGTCTTCAAATAATCCGCTAACCGTTTGTGACCAGCGGACTTTGCCATGTCGTAGGGTGTTCCGACTTTCTTTGACATATAAGCATTGACATCAGCTCCATAACGTTCGATCAACAGGGCAACCACTTCAGATCGACCGTTGCGGATAGCCCAGTGTAGAGGTGTCTCGCCTCGTTCGTCTGGTTGATTGACAGGTATTTGACAGGCACGGATGATAAACGATACTAGATCAACGTGACCAGAGGCGCAGGCGTAGTGCAATGTGTTTGCTCCTGGAAAAACAGAATTAGTGGGGGGAAACAGGTCATTTTCTTATTTTTCATTTACCCTGACTGTCTGTTTCCTGGTTAAGGACGCCTTGTGTCATATGAATGATGTATTCGACGACAGAAGTATGAGAGTGCTCTGCTGCAACATGTAAGGCTGTCTTTTTCTTACTTCCTTCTCCACGAGAACACATCAAATCTCCGCCAGCTTGAACGAGCTTTTGAAGTCCAACTAACCAACCAACACTTGCTGCCAAGTAACAGGGCGAGACCTAGGACAGGGGGTATGAGATGAAAGAGGCACGTACGAATAATAAAAGTTTACCTTGTCTTCGTCAACTTGACTGAGTGTCATCACATTTGGGTTTGCTCCCTGTTGCAGGAGTAGATCTAAAGCTCCAGGGGCTTTGGTGACAATGAGAGCATGAATCATACCGTAGCCATATTTGACTGTATTAGTCGAAGGAGATTGTTTGGCCGTATTCGGTGAGCCACCTCGACGCAGAAAGTTACTAAACAAGGGACAAATAAATGACAATTCTCTTCTTCATTAATAAACATTCTTTACCTTATAATTTTCTCTACCGTCACATCACTCCCTTGACTCTTTGCTATTGTATCCCACAAGGCATCCGATCCACCAAAGCACAATGGATCTGATTTTCGTTGTTGAATAATGCAGTTTTCGGTATAAGCTGATGTGGTCGAACGGACAGGTGTTAAAGGAGGAGCATAAGGAACGGTCGAATTAGGTGAAGAATAAGAACTGGCCATTGAAGGATTCCTTGATATTTTATGATCCATGGATCTGCTTGAATATATACTTGTCGCCTCCGTACTGCTCGAGAATGCACTAAACACACTTGCTCCCGCTGTTGAATTATTTCGTTTACGCTCATATTGCCACTCTGATGATGAACAATTGCTGCTTTCCACGTCTTCAGCTACAGAAGCTAATTGATCATATTTCCTCTTGAAGAACTGCATCTCTCTCACTGCCTTTTCATAACGTCTTTGGCTTTCTGATATAATATCCTTTAAATGCTGATTTTCTTGATAAAGCAAGTCAGATCGTTGCTCCAACATGGTCACCAGACGTTGTTGATCAACCATCAATCGCCTATATTCCTTATGCATCATTGTTTGTAAATTTTCATCCTTGACTTGTTGTATCAAGATATCCAGTCGATCTGAAACTGTATTTTTAGAAGAGAATTCATGGCTTAAGTTGTCCATCACAGAGTACATTTTTTTATATGAAAATAATATTTACACGCAAGAAAGAAAGAATAAAAAAAAAAAAGAGAATGAAAGAAGAAGAAAAAAGGAATAAAAAAAAAAAAACTTTTTCCCAAGCGAGACTAAACACAAAAAGAGTCAGAGCCAAAGTGTAAAAGAAAAAGAGAGAGAAAGAGAGGCAAAATGGAATAATGGGTCGTATATTTTTTACTTTTAAGGAAATTGGGTCTAATTCAGGGAAACTCATCATTTGATTTTCACTTGTTCTCTGTCCTTTCTTCCTCTCCCATTCTCCAAAAAAAAAAGGAAGGAGGAAATTTGTTACTATGGTAATAAGGAGCTAAATAAGAAGGGGGAGTAGAATAACCATAGAAGCATACTGAAAGAAAAGAGATGCTAATGTAGATAAACAGTGGCAATGATATATAAATAGAACCTAGCTAAAAAGCTTATATTGATTTGTGGAACCTGTTTCCATGTACGAAAAATGAAATGCAGTCTTATGCAGCTTCAATGTGATTAAAAACCTTTGAAACAAAATAGGAGATTGCTTGCTTATTCTTAACGAAAGAGAATAAGCTTCTTTGGGTAGTACAAAAACTAGGGCACCGAACAGAAGAAAGTTTCCATTGTTTTCCTATTATTCTATTACAGAGCGATAAACTATAATTGCTAATACAAGTGTCATACATGTCAATTGAATGTAAAACATGAAATAAAACAAGGAGATCGAGATAAACAACTTCAAGTAAAGATATTGAAGGAACAGAAACCAAAACAAAGAAAAAGAGGGGATATATCTTGTTCAATTGATGCTCCGAACAAGTTCTCCACTTGTGAGACATTACTACTAAAGGCAGGAACAGCTATCTTTTCTTTTAAAAGTCCTGTTATGGTATTATACCGATATACCTTGAAAAAAAGTGAAAATACCCTTTCATAAAGGCTCTTTGTTAGAAAGCCGTAGAGAGATATATCTTTAACGACTAGCTAAGATGTCTTTTATCATTTTATAGAAATTATGTGCAATGTCCCTCAACCGTGTTGTCAACTTGTCTATTTTGTCTAGTCTGCAGTTATTTCCTTTTCTAGTCTATTGAAATGCTGACAAGTATCAAATTAGCCTTTTCATCGCGCTTTTTCTTGGAATCAGTCCAGACCACAGTACTCAAAAAGAACTCTATGCTTTCTTCCTCTGCAGTTCATGCATACTTGATCTTTCTTTTTCTTCAGAATAAGACCATGTGAAGGAAAGAGAGAGATAGAATACACGTCTGTTGCGCCTCTGGATTCCCCTGTGTAGACCTTCTTGCCACTGTCAATAAGTGAGCAGATTTTGCGAGAGCTTTACTGCTTTTTAATTTTGACCTCCTACGGATGGACGCGAAATGTCGGATTTTTTCACGTTCTTGTCAATATCTCTATATCTTAGCTTGTGGGCCCTTAGTAAAGAGTAACAGCAGGTTGCAAAGTGAGTACACATCATGTCCAATTGTTTGTTCTTTTTTCTCTCCTATTCCCTTTTGTTCTCCCTCTTTTTCTGTTCTACCAGATTGCTTTCACTATATGTCTGTGTCTGAAAATAAAAGGTGTTTTCGAAGCCGCTTCCCATATTTTATGGTGGCATGCTCCTTTCTTTTCTCTGAACTTAAAGTAGGCCATTTAATGCGGAAATGAGCCGCTTATACTATTATCCACGCTCCTGAAAAAGAAAAAAAAAAAGAGATCCAGCTACACCTTCTTTCCTATAATGAACTCACAATGTTGTATTTAATCTAACATCACCACGCTCAGCTCTCAAAATATGATCAATGAAGAAACTGGTGTTGGTAATGCATTAATTTTGACGCACTTAAGGGAGATAAACTATTGTCGTACTCATTTTTTTTTTTTTTATATTTGAGCATGAATTCTGCTTTACTATTTTTAATATCATATCAGAATCGTTGGTTATTTGAGTAGTAAATTTCAACTTTGGTATACATATGGCGTGCTCTTGTTGAAACATGATCAATCATTAAGGCAGGCTCGTCTTGCCGGATATGATACGTTTTATACTCTTACTTCTTTTTGATATTGACTTATCTGAGCCAGACTACGCAATATAAAATGTCAAAGTATAGAAAACTTTGTAAAGTATACACTGCAAATACCAGAGTTGACTAGAAATACGAATCTAGTTATTCGTTAATATTCTCAATAAATAAAAATGATCTTCATTATATCTCAACATAATCAAGCACCTCTCAACAAGTTTGGAAGCAGCCAATAATTACATAACTTTACTATAATTGGAAAAGACAAATAAACTGTAGACACTACAGTCACACAGTTACTTTTTTTTTTTTATTACTTCCATGATGGATGCATCAGAAGTCAGATGGGTGTCTAAATATGTACGACCTGTTGAATTTGTAGCAGCACACGAAGAGATTGAGCAGCCAGTCAAGAAACAAAAGACTTCGAATGGAGATGAAGTTGCTTCACTTTACAAAAACATTATCAACTCAACCAAGTCACCTGCTACGCCGTCTCCTCCTTCAGCTGAAAAGACTATTTGGTGTGAAAGTTGCGAGATGACTATTACTGAAGCTGATTACAAACGACATATTCAAGGTACAGCTCATATGGTCAGTAGAAAAACAGAATGTGAGCCTGTAGATACATTGACACTAGGAGGAAGTAATGTTGGCTTTCGTATGTTAACATCGCAAGGATGGAAATACAAGGAAGGGTTAGGGAAAGAAGGGCAAGGTCGACGACATCCTATAGCGACTGTGTTTAAACAAGACAGGCTCTGTATCGGACACGAAAACAGCGGACGTAAAGTCGTGACCCATACACATCAAGAGATTGAAAAAAAGGCCATAGAACGACAGAGAAAGATGGAAGAACAAAAGAAAGACCCTGGCAAAGAGATTGCAAAGAAAGCCAAAGCTGAATCTAGAAAGAGAGTTGCTATGTTACATTATTTAAAACAATAGTTTATCTGTCTTGGCATATTGAACAAAAAAAAGAAAGGGAGGGGAACAATGGTCCGACAATTCGGTGTACAGGATTAAAAAGTCTAAAATACCTTCAAAAGGGAATTTCATAACGAATATGTATTCATAGCCAATCAATCAAGGGGCATTTATCAAGAAGAGGATTAATAAGATATGGAATATTATTGGATAGATAGATCATAGATAATGAGGGGATGTTGCCTTTGTGGGAATATCACATCAAAATATTACAAATAACGAATCGGGAATAAACTACCTTAAATGACATTTTTTAACCTGTTGACAATCTATCTAGACTAATGTCATCGTCATCTCTTGGTGGAGTCATTTTTCTAGATAGTTCATCTGCAGATGAAATAGAATGACTCAGTACCATTTGCTCCTCTTGTTGTTGTTGATATGGATACTGATATTGATGTTGCTGCGGAGACCGCTGTTCTTGTTCTTGTTGTTCTTGTTCTTGTTCTTGTTCTTGTTCTTGTTCCTGTTGCTGTGCTTTCATTATTTGTAATAGTTGTGTTTGTTGTTGTTGTTGTTGTTGCTTTTTAGTTAGCTTTGCATAATCTACAAGGAGAATTAGGATTAAGGCATAAATACTATAAATAATATTTACGCAATCCGCAAGCATTACAGAGAGTACGTGCACCATCAGGACCTCGTCGCCATTCTGGTGTTTCAGATATATTACATGAATGGCATCTTCCTTGAAACGCAGGTCTTTTCTGCTACAAAATCATAAGTAACTCAGATATCACTGATCGAAAAAAAAAGAAGGACGATTTACCACTCTTTTACGCTGTCTTGATGATGATGTGGATTCTTGTTGATTGAACGATGCTTCACTATTTGAAGCACGCGTTTGCTCTGCAGCCATTTGATATTTTCTTAATCTTAATAACGCATTCAGCACTTCATTAGCTCTATTCACCATATCGTCTAACCATAATCTTGTTGATGCCATATCTTGCTGTGATTGTAAATGTATAAACTGTCCTTTTCCTTGAATCATATTATCACAGATTATATTACATTGGTATACTACTTCATTAATATCTTTATTCAATTTATCTGGTTCATTAGGTTGTCTATTTATAAATGGTGGTGATGACCAATGCTCTAATCTTGGAGTAGGTAATGATGTTGATAAAAACGATGAACTAGAACTAGCAGATGGTGGTCGATCCATCGTTGAAATGGGCGGTAATGTTAATTTATCATTGCTATTCATATCTTAAGTATTTTAAAGAAAGATTCACGTAAAATTAGAAAGACAAGAAAAAGCAAATAAAAATAAAAAAAAGCCTTTTTATATGCAGCATCTATCATGTTTCGGGTAACCCAAATCTGGGAATAAGATTAGTGTGTCGATTTCGTTGCACTGATTGCTAAATAAAGTATAAAACATAAAAACTGGATAGTGACACAAGAAAAAAGAAACGCTTGATTTATGTAAGCCAGTTACCATGGATTCCATTTGAAAATATAGATAATATCTATGGGAAAAATATAAATTTCTTTTATCTATACGCAAATTGATTGGATATCTCATCCTGCATAAAAATAAAAGGGAAAAAAAAGAATACTTGGGAAAAAAAAAAAGAAGGGGGAGATACATCTTGTAAACTTTATCTTTGTTTATATATGTATATTCTTTGGCTTAACCACGTGGATTAAATATCAATGTGAGGTATTTGACATTGAGACGATTTTGGTGTAATGGCCTCTAATAGAATATCTCTTATCTTAAAGTATTTTCGCTTTCGTTGAACATAGAATACTTGTCGTTCTCCCAAAGGTTGTGGTTTATGTTCTTTTACTGCAATATATACACTCTCTGTCTCTTCGTCGTAATCAATATCTGTTTCTTGTTGACTATTTTCTTGTTCTCGTGACTCTTCCAAGACAATTTTAAGATCTTCCCTATCGTTTCCAGGTGTAACTAGGTAACACGATTAGTTCCTTAGGTTAGTCGAAATCGTGATCATACCTTGTGGCCTGCCTATTCCCTTTTTCTGATATACAGCAATGAGATCGTTGAATGATTGACTTCGACCTGCCACTGCTCTTTTGGCACCGACTGAATGAATTTTACATGTAATTGCTCTCGTACAAGGTTCATTTGTAGGTGGAATAAGCACACCGCATTGTCTATCTAGATTTAAAGGCGCTGTTATATTTAAAAAAAGAGGAGGTTAAATCATCATACCATCCCACAAGTAAAATACAATCAGAACCTTTTTTTCTCTTATTGATCCGCTTTTTATGCTTTTTCATATCATTTGTTTCTATATACGACATTAAATACCACCTCTTTTTTTATTACTAAACTATTTTTACCGTTATTTTCTGTTTGCACGTTCTTCTCATCTTCATCTCGTAATGGTCTTTTCCTTTTTTTACCACCTTCCGACATAAACTCGTTACTATCACTTTCTTCACTATCTGTTGAAGTTGGCTTTATGAGATTTGACATGATTAAGAAAAAAGAGAAATGAGGGAGGGGAAGAGGGTAGAGGAGGGAAAAAAGTATACTACAGCGCTCATTGGTCGAAAAATGAGCCAATAAAAGATATGATATCATTCGCTAAAATTTTGCCCGCGCACAAGGGGGATGTGATCGCTCGCTCTCAACCATAATGCAACCTGTCCATGTTGCACTGCTTGTTATTTCATAATACAATTTGTACAAACAAAGACAAATCAATACTTCCTTCATTTCTGAAAACAGTGTATGTTATCTCTAGGTTATCTTGGTTTCGCTCCGGATTATTCATGGGCCGGCTATTTAAGCTTACTTTAGTATGTCTCCTTGACAAATAGTATCGAGCGGATGCCCGCATTTGATCCGAGTAAAACGTGCATGAAAAATACAAGTTAGGTGCTTCTTTCTTTTCTTGCCTTTTTCATTATTTTTCCACCCTTTATCGATCACTTGTCATATCCTTTTATCATACATGTGCACAGGTGCCATGCAACTCTTTTCTTTGTTTGATCTATAATTGAATCTGCTTCTCTAATAATAAAAAGTCGTGTTTCTGTTTTTTTCTTTCTTTATTGTCATGGCAACTCGATACAACTTTTACAATAATGACACTTTATCAGTACCTTTGAATGCACGAGCATTTTAAATTGAAAATCAGTTGCCCAATCAAAATAGTCGGAATATGCTAAACCGAAATAGATAGTGGTATAGCTTTCAATTAGAAACGAATATGCTTGCAATGTTCAATCGGTTTATTCGGGCCATTTGTTGTCATATGGAACAATATAAATTTTTTTTCCCGGTGCTGCTGCGGATAATAACACCCTTTTTATGAGGTATAGTACTATCGTAAGGGGGCAAATTGTAGGATATTGCGCGATGCTTCGCCGGTCGCCATTTGAAACCTTCCAATAAAATAATGACATCAAACCGGCTCACTTTGGCGGTGAGTAGTAATCTACAGATCCGCAGCTTCACGGATAAACTACGGCATATTCTGTCAAACATGAGCATATAAATAGTCCCTATATTTTCTTCGAATCTACTTGTCTTGATCTATCTTTTTTCTTTTTTTGCACATCTCATTTTATTACCCTTTCATTCACTTTAATACAATAATAATCGTAATACAGTACTAAAGATCAACAAGTACATTCATGACTTCCAGTAATAATCTTCCATCTTATGGAGGACATCAACACGAACTAGATCAAGCTAGTAATGAATCAGCCAGTACGGTCTATCATATGAATGTTTCGAACGGCACATATGGTGAACCTAATGCAAACGCTGTCAACGTCGAAGGTACCTTTTTTTTAATTGTTTTTTGTATTCGATATATTAAATTTTTTTTTTTTTATCTCCAGCTGCTCAGCAAGAATATGAAGATCTCAAGCGAGAATTGTCTCGTATCAGTCGTATGTCTTCTGTTCACCCAAATGCAGTAGAAGAAGGCAAAGCTAATGCAGATGAATTTAACCTCGATGAATTCTTAAACGGTCTGCGTGATGAACATGATTCTGCAGGCCACCTGCCCAAAAATCTCGGTGTTTCGTGGAAAAATTTGACGGTCAAGGTAACCCTTTTATATATAAAAAAAGAACAAAAAGAAGGAATGCCGAATCTAACGCAATTATTTTAGGGCTATGCACCTGATGCACACACCATCCCCACTGTTTTCTCTTTCCTTCAATTCTGGAAGCTCTTTGGTGTTGGTGTCAGCAGAAATAAGAAAAATATCCTTCATGATCTAACAGGCCATTGTAAAGAAGGTGAAATGCTACTGGTTCTCGGTCGTCCTGGCGCAGGCTGTACTACTTTCCTAAAAGTAATTGCTAACATGCGTGGTTCCTACACTGATGTTGAAGGTGATGTTAGTTATGGTGGTATTGACGCAGATACCTTTGCAAAGAGATATCGTGGTCAAGTTTGTTACAATGAAGAAGAAGATCAACACTATCCTACCTTAACTGCTAAACAAACACTTCAATTTGCTCTTCGTCTCAAGACACCTGGTAATCGACTTCCTAACGAGACAAAGAAAGAATTTGTCAACAAGATTCTTTATATGCTCGGTAACATGCTGGGTCTTACCAAGCAAATGAATACCATGGTTGGTAACGCCTATGTCCGTGGTCTCTCTGGTGGTGAACGCAAGCGTATGTCTATTGCTGAGCAAATGACAACATCCAGTTCCATCAACTGTTGGGACTGTTCCACACGTGGTCTCGACGCTGCCTCAGCTCTCGATTATACTCGAGCACTTCGCATTATGACTGACGTTTTGAAAAAGACAACGATTGCTACTTTATATCAAGCTTCGAACAACATCTTTACCCTTTTCGACAAAGTCATGGTATTAGACGAAGGCAGATGCATCTATTTTGGCCCTACCGATCTCGCTCAACCCTACTTTGAAGCTCTCGGTTTCCATTGCCCCAAGCGTAAGTCAATTCCTGACTTCTTAACCGGTCTTTGTAACCCCAACGAACGTGAAATCAAGCCTGGTTTCGATTCAATTGCTCCCAGATTTGCCCACGAATTTGAAGCAAGATATCTCGAATCAGATATTCACAAACAAATGATGGCTGAGTTTGAGCAATACCAAGCTCATCTTCATCACGAGAAGCCTGGTGATACTTTTATGAAAGCTGTCGATGCCGAGCATCAAAAGCGTGCCAACAAAAAGGCACCCTACACAGCTAGTTTCTATCAACAAGTCAAAGCACTGACCATTCGTCAATTCTATCTCAACTTGACCGACATCGGTGCTCTCATCTCTCGTTACGGTACTATTCTCATTCAATCATTAATCACTGCCTCTTGCTTCTTCAAGATGGCCGAAGACGGCGCCGGTGCCTTTTCTCGTGGCGGTGCTCTTTTCTTTGCTCTCTTGTTTAATGCCTTCATCTCTCAATCCGAACTTGTTGCCTTCTTGATGGGTCGACCTATCCTTGAAAAGCACAAACAGTATGCTCTCTACCGCCCTTCTGCATTCTATATTGCTCAAGTTGTCATGGACGTGCCTTATGCTGTGGTCCAAGTACTCTTGTTTGAAATTTGTGCTTACTTCATGATGGGCTTGAAATTGACGGCTGGAGCCTTCTTTAGTTTCTTTATCATCTTGTTCTTCATCAACATGTGTATGAACGGTTTCTTCCGTTTCTTTGGTGCTTCCACATCCAGTTTCTTCCTTGCTACTCAGCTTTCAGGTACCGTTTTGATTGCCGTAACATCCTACACAGGTTATACTATCCCTTACAACAAGATGCATCCTTGGCTCTCATGGATCTATTGGATCAATCCCTTGACATATGGTTACAAGGCGCTACTTATCAACGAATTGAAGGGCCAGCATTACAGCTGTGATGGTCTTGGTAATTCGATTCCTTCTGGCCCAGGCTATGACGACTGGAACTACAAGACCTGTGTTATGGCAGGTGGCAAGCCCGGTGCCAGCTTTGTCCTTGGTGACGACTACTTGAACGAGTACCTTAGCTACAATCCTGAACAAATGTGGGCTCCTGATTTTGTTGTCCTCGTTGCCTTCTTCCTTTTCTTTACTGTCGTGACTGCCGCTACCATGGAATTGGGTGGACTCAGCAAAGCCGGTACATTGACCAAGCTTTACTTGCCTGGTAAGGCTCCCAAGCCCCGTACGCCCGAGGAAGAAGAAGCTAGACGCAAAAGACAAGCCAACATCAACTCTGAAATGGAAAATGTATCTACTGGTACAACTTTTTCATGGCAAGACGTCAACTATACCGTTCCAATCAAGGGAGGTCAACTCCAACTTTTGAACAATGTCTCTGGTATCGTCAAACCTGGCCATCTTACTGCCCTCATGGGTTCCTCTGGTGCTGGTAAGACCACCCTTCTGGACGTCTTGGCTCGCCGAAAGACGATTGGTAAGGTCGAAGGTCGTGTCTATTTGAACAACGAAGCCTTGTTGAATGACTTTGAGCGTATCACAGGTTACTGTGAACAAACCGATGTTCATCAACCTGCTGTCACTGTTCGTGAAGCACTAAGATTCTCAGCCTATCTTCGTCAACCTGCTGAAGTGCCCAAGGAAGAAAAGGATGCCTATGTCGAAAAGATCCTGGAGCTCTTGGAAATGGAAGACATTGGTGACGCTCAAATTGGTCTTGTTGAAACTGGCTTTGGTATCTCTGTTGAAGAACGTAAGCGTTTGACGATCGGTATGGAACTTGTAGGCAAGCCTAAACTTTTGTTCTTGGACGAACCTACCTCTGGTCTTGACGCTCAAAGTTCATACAACATCATTCGTTTCATTCGTAAGCTTGCTGATTCTGGGTGGCCTGTCTTGTGTACCATTCATCAACCCTCTGCTATCCTCTTTGAACATTTTGATCACCTTCTTTTGCTTGTCCGTGGTGGTAAGACAGCCTACTATGGTGAAATCGGTAGGGACTCTCAAACGATGATCTCGTACTTTGAACGAAACGGCGGTCCTCAATGCGCACCTGATGCTAACCCTGCTGAGTATATACTTGAGTGTGTTGGTGCAGGTACTGCAGGTAAAGCCAAGGCTGACTGGGCTGCTATCTGGGAAAAGTCAGCTGAAGCCAAACGTCTTCAAGAAGAACTCGAACAGATTCACAACGTGGCTGACAAGAACCCCACGCGTATCGCTCGTACTTATGCTACAAACACCTGGACTCAATTCAAACTGGTTCACAAGCGTATGGCTTTAGCCTACTGGCGTTCTCCTGATTATAACATTGGTCGTTTCTTAAACGTCATGTTTACTTCACTTATCACTGGTTTTACCTTTTGGAAGCTTGGAAACTCTTCTTCTGACTTGCTTAACAAGCTCTTTGCCCTCTTCAGTACTTTCATCATGGCCATGACATTGATTATCCTTGCTCAACCCAAATTCATTACCGAACGACAATACTTTAGAAGAGAATACGCTTCACGTTACTACAGTTGGTTCCCTTGGGGTATCTCTGCTCTTCTGGTTGAAATGCCATACATCTTTATCTTTGCTGCCTGTTTCATGTTTGGGTTCTACTGGACAGCCGGTATGAATACGTCTTCAGAGGCATCTGGTTACTTTTACATCACCTTTTGTATTCTTGTCTGTTGGGCTGTCTCTCTTGGTTTTGTCATTGCTGCTTTCTCTGAATCACCTGTGATGGCTGCTGTCATCAATCCTTTGGTCATGTCCTTGCTTATTTTGTTTGCTGGTCTTATGCAATCTCCTGCAGCAATGCCTCGATTCTGGAGCGCATGGATGTACTGGCTTGGTAAGTTTTCTACAGAAGAAGAAGAAGAGATAACTAATATGTTTTATAGATCCTTTCCATTACTATATTGAAGGTTTAGCTGTGAATGAGCTGTCTGATACCGCCGTTCGATGTACCGATTCTGATCTTGTCAAGTTTCATCCTCCACCCAACATGACCTGTGGCGAATACACCAAGAATTACTTTAGTTATGGCGCTCCTGGTTATATTGCTAATCCTGATGCTATGCAACCTGATATGTGTGGTTACTGTACCTTTAACAGTGGTAAAGAATTCTATTATTCTCGATTTGGTTGGGATGAAGCTCACAAGTGGCGTAACTTTGGTATCCTCATTGCTTACTTTGCTTTCAACTGCATTGTCTTTTTAATGTTTGTTTACCTTCGCAGAAAGCCAAGACGTTAAAAATATTCTTTAATTATATCATATACACTCATAGATTTTTTTTTTATTTTGTATCATTATTCATACAACTACATCTTAAACTCTCTTTCTTTCTTTTTTTTTTTTCGATACTAATGCATGTAATTTTATTTTATTTGAATAATAAACAGGACACAATTTCATTAAATGTTTGATTGTTCTAATCTGTTTGATTCTACTGTTCTCCATGAGTTATTCATCACTCCACGATAATTCCAAATAGGATACTCTTGTTGAATATTTCCAGCAGAATCCACTATATAGAGAATAAAAATTATTTTATTTTTTAACAATTTTCTATTTACCTGCTCGACTAACAATCCTCACATTTCTCTTTGTTTCTACAGTAGCTGTCCAGAGACACCAACCCCAAACATATACACTATTTCCTCCTGCTGCAGGCTGGTACAATTGAGCTGTTACCCACGTCTTTCCGTCATCTCCAGAGACATCTACTCAAAAATAAGTCAAATGTTATTGAACAATTATTTCCGTCTTACCAACACGCTGAATAAATCTACCACCCCCTGAGAGCGCATAACCTTGTACTTGCTCACTGGGTTGGGATCCATTGTGCACTCCATCAGCAGGTATACAGACATAAGACTGAACGTTGTATTCTCCAATAGCGGGTAATCTGGTCCAATATGCGTTTGCTTGCTCCTCGGTGTTTATCTACAGATCCAACATCGGTCAGAAGAAAGGAGATGCTGCATTTTTTCACTTACACTCTCGGGAAGTATTTTATAGTCTCGTTGTTGGAAAAAGGAAGATGACTCTTGGTCTTGGACGGTGATTGACTTCAAAAACTTGACTGAACGTGCACCGATGTATCCTTTATATCCCCAATTAGCAACAATACAGAAAAACACAAGTTTCGTTACCTGGTACGACTACTCGAATAGGATAACCGTGATCACGCGTTAGAGGTTTATAGTTCATCTGAATTAGAAGAAATCAATGTTGCAAATTCTTAAAGTGTCATGGTTACTTGCCTCATATGCCAATAGTACATCACCAAACTCGTCCCTACAAAGAGTTAACGTTGTATTAAAAATAATAAAAGACTTACAGTGCTTTTGAAAGTGGAATAGAGGATCCGTAGCACCTATCTTCTTCGCACTTTTTTATATAATATTGCTTTATTTAGAATTTAAGCTATTAGCAGAAAAATGGTTGGTTACCTGTTCCACAGATTCAAATGCGACATGCAGTTTAGAAAAATTATCCAGTTTGGACGTAACGCCTAAAGATTCTAGTACGTCCTTTAGTCTACAGCCACTATAAACTGCATTTCCAAGAGCACAGGGCCCCCAGATGACCTTTTAGAAGAGTGAGTAAGATGAAACATAGTATGATTTTTGAACTTACGCCCTTTGTATGCTTTACTCTGTGTAGACCATCTCTTCTATTTCCCTATTGAAGTATTAGATGTATATGCTTTTCTATTGATACTATACACATACTGCACACTAAATATATATATATATAAAGATGAATATACCAATGCTATTCAACGTATTCCTTTTAATTACCTCCATCACCATCATAACCGACACTTTTTCATAATCCTTGATTTCCTTCAGACTCAATCTTTTGACTTCTTTACAACCTATACCCTTAATCTCTACCGTATGTTCGTTTTCATCAAGGACAGGTATCGGTCCATGGTTTCGGCAAAAGAAGTATTTCTCAGGTGTAATATAATGTTTTACTAAATCTGGTGGTGTTGGTTCAGCATTAAAAGGAGCATCGTTGCGTACGATCAAATCATATGACTCATGCGAAGGATCGTGACTATAATCAAGTTGACTTTTAGACATGAGAAATAAAGAAAGAAAAGAAAAAGAAAAAAAAGTGTGCCCTGAAATAAGGCAATCCTGCATAACAATAACATTTACGTCATACAGAATACATTAAAGTGTTGATTTTTTATTCTACGATAAACTTTACAAAGTGAGAAAAAGAGAGAAAAGATGCTAATAGTAAGTAATAATAATAATAATAATAAGGGGTGTGATAATAAAGGAATACTTATTCAATAGACCATCGCCTGGTAGAACTTGATTTTTCCAAACCAAGAGGAGCCATTGAATGTGCTGAAGTAGCAGAAGCAGTAGCGTGCGAAACTAGAAAAAAAAAAAGAGTCAGTTTATCTGGATAATAAACATGCTTCCATCTGTTTACTATGATTCATCAATCCAAGGTTAAAGTTTCGAAGACAGATAATACCAATGGGTACAGATGCTAAAATAAGTACCATATCTACACACACTATTTTGATGTGATTAGTAGATTATTAAGAAATATACAAGAACTTACAGAAGAAGGTGAGAAAAGCTTTTGAACCCAAGAATCGAACGGGATTTTGAGCAATTTGAACAAGAGTATAAATATAGTACGCCATGCTCGCCATACAAAGAATTAAAAAGATGTACATATGAGGTTTTCTTTCTCTTCTTAATCCCCAATAAGCAGATACGAGCATTGTGATTGAAATGCAACAACTCAGGACAATGTGTTCTATCAATTCTTTGACAATTCCTGTTTGATCTCCACTACTTGCCGCGGTTGGCCACCATGCGACGATCAATAACGCTAAATACTGTATTGAAAATCCAAGGAAAAAGAAGAAATCGAACTTGAGTAGCATCATGAAGATTTGATACATCTTGTAACGATCTATACAATATAGAATCAATGGGATAAGTTTCCTTTTATATATATATTTATATCTATATATATATATATATACCTCGCATGGCTAAATCAGCTCCAATCTTTTTATAAATGTGCCAACCAAACTCAAGATAGAGCTTATAAGCTAAAAAGACGAATATACAGGTACAAACAATCATCAAACATATCTGAGTGATTTCTGCCCACTTGGAATCATGATAAGCTTGACCCAGGTAATGTAAGCCAGTTGACACGTTTGAACCATCTTGCGTGAATAGAGTGGAAGACTGATGAAACTGGATGATAGAGTATGCTGTCATGCCTAATTCAAAAGCGACCAGCGCAATAAGTTGAATGGTATTTCTTTGGTAAATCTATTGTGTATCATCGTTAGTTTCTTTTCTTATGTTTGTCAATTTTTTAACCTACAGCATCAATCACAAGTATCACAGTAAATAGCTGGGCAATCATGAATAAAATGAAATAGACCAATAAGGACCTAGCATTAGCAAAGGCTGTCTTGAGGTCATCATTGGAATCAACTGCCAATCGTAAACTGTTGATTACATTAATTTCATTCGAATGAAAGACGAAAATGACAGCTTCGAATGCAATAGCAAATAGTGCTTGTAAAACGATCACACAAAATATAGCTCGGGTCCACCGTGACTCACCAAACTATGAAGAAAAAGAATATTTATATATGAATAACATGATATAAATGTGTGTGCGTATACTTTGTCTGGTTATCTTACGACTCGAGAAATGATCCACATTTGTTAGTTTATTCTTTCAGTTTTATTATTTATATGTTAAACATAGAAAAACTAGAAAGAAAGGACTATAATAAAAAAAAGGAGGGGAAAAGAAAGGGGAAAATGAAAAAGAGAGGAGAGGGAAAGGGTAATAAGTTCTAGTTCAACCGACCAAATGAGTTGTGTTACACTATTGAATTGATTGATTGCTTATTTTGTAAATGACTCGTGAAGTTACATGAGATCAACTTTACTATGAACTAACAACAAAAATCTAGACTAAGTGATAAACAGACAAGAGATCTTTCTTTCTGTGGAACTTTTGATGACGCATAATTGTTATTTTATTGTATAAAAAATGTGTTTTTTAAAGTAGATTGAATGGTAGATTGACCATGACTGAAGAACAAGAAAAGCTTAATTAAATCTAAATTGAGCAAATTGAACAATAATGAAGGTGCGATAGAGAGTAATAATGGGTGATGCTGTGTATATCTTTTTTTTTACTTTGAAGACTGTTTGTAATTAGTGGTATCCAATACTTGCTTTCCACAAATGGCACAAATACCCTTTTTATATGCACAATCTAGGAATATAATGTTAAGGATGTTTAAGTATGATGATATTTGATTTACCTTGACAATAATTTGCTTTGGTCTGATGAACTCTGTTTTTACATAATTTACACTTGCCCTCTAAAGGATTAAAACGACTAATATAAATGTTATCATCTTTATCTTTTTGTTTTATCCTTGCTTACTTTGCTTTTGCAGATTTTGATAACAACTTGTTTTGATTGATTTTTCTTCCAGAAGATCCAGCTACATTTAAAAAAGTCAATATTTCCAAATGAAAGAGAGAAAGAGAGAAAGAAAGACGTGTAATTACCAACGGCGTTATTTGATCCTTCTTTCCATGTGTCTGGTGCAGCCACTGCAATTAACTTCTTTTCACACTTTTTGCAAACCATTGATTTATTTTATAAAGAGAGACAGAGAAAAAGAGAGAAAAATAATAAAACTGCGGTAAAAGCTGTGTTTACCAAATATGGACTTTTTCATCGCCACTAGTCCAATTAATGCCGGCAGAAACTCCTGAAATCTTTGATTGCAGAGATGGCTCAGCGGAACCACATGCTTCAACTAACTATCTGAAATGTTGATGAATTGTAATAATTATAAAAGACATAGTGTATTTATTACTATTGCTATCCTAATGTACGTGATATTACCTTTGTTCATATGCTAAATCTACAGAAATTGCACAATTCATTCAGTAGTCAGTCTCTCCCTCTCTTTTCTTGATAACACGAAATGTTTGTTTGATAATACAGTCATTTATTTTAAATTCATATTTAGGAAGGGATAAAAAAAAATAATGACTTTATATATTAGTCAAGTCTGAAAAATACAAGATATCTGGCATATTTGGCAATCTTGTTATCTTGTCGGTGTCGGGAGGAATCCACGTTCCTCGTGTCCAAGAGCAGGCTTATTATTGTTGCTGTTGTTGTCACTGTCACTGCTGTCATCATCGTTTATTAGGTCGCAGCTTGCAACTTCCGTCGTTGCATTCTTTTGCATTCATTAAACACTTGATTATATAATATAACTCATTTATACTTACTTTGAATTTATATTGCAACATGATCACTTCTCTAAAGTCCTTGGTACGTGCAACATGGTTGGGGAGGACTGCCGCGCCTAATTTAAGGGAGCACGGGATGGCTCTGTTCCCTACAAAATAACCGGAAATTAGAGAAGTTGTTTTATTTCGTAAATATTGATGTACCTGTGATCTGTAGGCCAGAGATAGCGATAGCTTCGGACTTTTTGTGGGACTTCTTTGATCAACTTGTCCAGAACTGTCTTGAATTCAATATGGAGTTTTGTCCTGTCATTGGTGATCTTGATCATGCTAGGGTTGAGCCTAGCAATCTCAACGTTAGCCTTATCGGCTTCTCTTCTTCTTCTGGACATAGTGCCCTTCGCAACTCTTAAGTCCACTTTGAAGCCGGCACTGCTTATTGCATCGTGAGAGTCACCGACACTCTCTCCCCTAAATAATTTGTTAAACAGATTGATCCAATGTCAAATAGACGCATTATTACGTACCACTTTGTCCTCAGGTTGGTTCTTCTAAACAACCTCTTCAAGATTGGCGACCAAATTTTTACGACGACGTCCTTTTCTGTTTTATCTACATCCTTGTCAAAAATACAACTTTGGAATTCAAGGAGAGTAAGGATTGATACTCTGGTGTTCAAGTATAATGAGACTTACTACTGGACATACATGCTGAAGATGTCCGATTCCATCGGGCTTTTGGCCTTTGCTTCGTACTTTAGGCAAAGGAAGCGACCTTTCGAAATCTCTTTCGCGATCTAAAATAGACTGTTATTAAAAGTAACAATAGATTTATTTTGATATTAGTAGTATAAACCTCTTTCATCTTCGAAATCTTCTCTTCTAGCTTGTCTTTCAAAGTAATTCCTTCATCGAAGCGTTTTTGGAACATACTACAGAGTTGCTGTATTTAGCTTTGTTATTGTAAAAACCCTCTTTTGGGGAGAAGCATGATAGGACAGGTCAAGGATAGAGTTGAGTCCCAGGCTAATTTTTGCTACTGTCAGACAACTGAAATATTCTATTTACAAAACCCCCCTCACTCAACTTACGCAACAACGGACTTGTCTTCACAGCTTAAACTGTAATACTGTTCGTATAGGGCTGTGGCTTTTCCTTTAATGATCGTTCCCACAGAGCTGCTCTCTATGCCCACACGGACTCTGTCTGCTTCAGCGGCTTATCAAAAAGACGCGTTAGTGATAACTACTCTCAATTAGTTTTGAAATCTTTCTCTTACAAGGCTAACGAGGAGATTACCAGATCCAATCCTAGTCTGGTACTAAACAGTTTATTATAACGGATAGATTCAGTGTAAAATAGATGCATTATTACGTACCACTTCATTCTAAGAGTTGTCCTCCTGAATAGCCTCTCAAAGATGGATGACCATACCTTGACAGCACTGCTGTTTTCAGTAATATCGATATTCTTGTCAAATACCTAGCTGTGGGGCTCCATAAGAGTAATAAAGAGACGCAGATGTATACTGATAAGTTTCTTTGTAAAGAATAAGAAAAAAGAAAAAGAAAGAATTCATTATTTACAACATCGTCATTTTATATGCAAACAGGAGTATTGCTTGACCAATAAGAATTGGATATAATATGCTATATGTTAATAACATGCATTGTGGCCAGTTTCTTTGTATTATTCATTCTTAGAATGTAGATTTAGAGTAATCTCATAAGATTAAGTATTGATAGGGTAAATACGATAACAACGTTTGTCTTCTTGTGAAACACAAAGCTATCTGGGTCTTCTTTCTCTTGTTTCATACTTTTCTGTTTTAGAAGAAATACGTGCATCAATCCTTGTCTGCATATATGTTGTATTCAGCTTCTCTTTCTTTTTTTGAAGCTCACTTCAGTCATATTAATATCAGGTTCCTCGGCTAACTGCGACTCAAAGCAATATCATCTTTGACCATCTTCCTAAGGTCTGCTATTATTTTTAGGCGGAGGTGAAGGAGTTTCATTGTGCTGGTTTGCTTCGTTTTCTTTATCATCAAAGGCACCCCTTCTTTCATCTTTGTGATAAAAAGCCATCCCAGAGCCCATCGCAAAGTTTGAGATTGTACAGAAAGAACAATGTTTTGACCTTGACGGCCAATTGAGTTCGAAAGGTTTACCAAATTAGGGCTCAAAAGTTCGGTATCTGTGGGTTGGGGCTTGCCTTTTATTGGTAGTACTTTTCACACGAACTTGTCCTCATTGTTCTTTTGACTTGATCTTCATCTTGCTTATATCTGCGCCTATTTTAAATAATAATCAATGCATTAAGATGCATATTTATATTATTTATTATCATCAAGTGTAAAAAGGGAAATAACTTGTTTCGAAGCTATTTTGGGAGATGAATTCATACACACACATTACAAAAGGGAGTTTAAAATATTCTGTGTATTTAAATAAAAACCTTTTAATCTCTCTCTCTTTTCTTTCTCTCTTATTATTTTTAAAATGATGTACAATACACTCAAGTTGAATGCAGTCGGATTATACGTTGGCGCAGTCTTTGGCACAGCAGCATTTACATATCTAAGGTAAACGAAATAAATACATTTAAATATATGAAACTCATCTTTTTATTTATTTACAGTAAGTAAAGCCCTTTTTCGTTTTATATAACAACTAACATGGCTATAGGCATCCGAGGATTGATTATGTCACGAGCGTCAAATACTAAAACGAAACCTCTTCAGCATTTGAAATTATTAAATTATCAACCACGATCCATTTCTTCAATTTCTTCAAATCTACCGATGAATGTCCATAGTCGATGCTATTAGTTATACCCTTCATTATTGTATGTGTATGTTCATTACTGTTTAAAAATCCTGCATTCTTTATTTCGTACATATAAAATTTTTGTGTTTTTCTCAATCCTACATTAAAACAAACTTTACCCGTAACCGCAGACGATATGACTCATCTTCAATATGACATTTTCTGTCTGATCCGCACGATTGAGAAAAAGATCACTGTCATTAATCAACCTTGATTCCTTTGTAAGTAGTTGAGCTCTTATCGCTAAGGAAAGGTCGATTTGCGATTATATATACGATTTAGAAGACAGCAAATAGTGGGGTAGTTGGATATTCTTGGACACACATTTTGTTGTCCCCGTATGAGAGATCCCTTCATTCCCCCCAAAAAATATCAAACTTAAAATTAGCCATTGCTTTCAAAAAGGAGTCGTTACTCAGAGCCACGTTTTGGTCATCCATTACTGCTAATTGACTTTACTCATCATGTAAGAGGAAGCCTATTCTTACCTTGGATGTACTGTTTAATAGAAGTAACGAAGAGTCGTTTCATAAGAAGGGGAGCAAAAACTAGGTCATGAAACCCTTAGATATATACTTAATACCCCCTCCCCTTATTTTTCTTTTTTAGTTTAGGAACAATGCTCAGGTATGATTATCAAAAAGGTTGCAACTCACACGCTGTCTAGTGAGCCTTTTTGTAGCCACCATCACTCAGCTGCAATAAGAAGTAATTAATGTCACATGACGATGGTTGTTCTTTTTATCTCTTTCACATGTACAACTTTCATTGTACAAAAAGAACGCTACATCTACTTTAAAGGATAACAAAAGAAGTATGATCTTTAATAAGATATCGTTTTTGACCCGATTACAAATTACAAAGTCAGTCATTTACCTTTAAACGTGTATAGAATATGGCTCTGTTCAAATATTCATTTCATTTTTAATATATATTGTTTGAAATTATTTATGAATCTATTACTATGACGTAAACAATGTCTATTCAGAGATAATAAAGAGAATGAAAGACGCATATGGATAAATAATGTTACTCATACCGTCGATCCCTTTTTTGTTATCTAAAGTTTACTTTTTGTTATGAACATATGCTGACTTTGTTATTCTCTTACTGCGATCATTTATGACCCCTTGATTCTGTCTTTCATACAGTCATTTCAAAAAGCAAAGTTGCTGGTTTTAAATTTGATGTCGTGCAAAAAATATGCAATTTTTTTTACGAAGATGGACAGGGACGTGTTGAACACGGAAATGAGCCTATAGATCTTGTTATTGACGAGGAGTTGCTTACTATCGAAACAATAAGTTCTCGTATTCAATTACTAGTGAATAAACCTCCAGATAGACAGCTAATTCCTGTAGTGTATCCAGTTGCAGATGAAAGGAGCAATGAGTATGTCGACATGGAGTTATGTGGCAAGTAATGCTATACAGTTTACTCGAATGATGAAAGAACTGGATTTTTTCATTTGTTTTTCAGTAAATACTTAAGTGCTTCAGCTGCTGCAAGACAACCGGGTATTCATATTCGTGCAGCTCAGAGATGGGTCAAACGTTATTACGAAGATCCTAAGAGCATTTTCGAAAAGAAGAGAAACAGGTCGATGTCATTCTTGGGGAAGAACATAAAAGTTTCCTTTTAAATTACATTGATGAGAATCCTTCTGCTGTTGCAACTGAAGTGATGGAAACTTTGAAGTAGAACTTTATAGATCTTAATGTTTCTCGTAGCATTGTTTACAACTTCAGATAACTCAATGTAACTTATCCATCAAACAAGCACAATTCCAGCCTGTTGAACGAAACAATGAAGAAAAAATTCAGCGAAGGTATAATTGGGTTAAAAAGTGGCAGCAGACTGACCTGGATTTCTCAATAAACTATGCCTTTCTTGATGAATCAACCTTTCACATTAATTTGAAAAGAAGTATGGCTTGATCAAAGAAGGGCACTCCTGCAATAGTTACAGTGTATTCTGGGGAGGGAAGTGATAACTACCTAGAATAATTTAAATAAATAAAAAAAAAAGGAACGGAGGACAGAGAGAACCCAGAGCGTCAGAGGAGACAATTAGGAGAACGTTCCAGATACACGTCAGAGAGCAAAGAAAGCGAGAAAAGCGAGTCAGAGTAAGGGCCATGGGACAAGCTAGTTTTTATTTATGAACATTTGAACACAGAGGGACATTTGATAACTGCTATAAAGAAGCAAAAAAAAAAAAAAAAAAAAAAAAAAAAAAAAAAGGACTCAATTAAAATGGGTTTTTATATGCTTTTCTATTTCAAGCAGGGTACCTAGGACAAAGAAGTCATGTCAAATAGAAGCAATCTACATCGTGACCATTCAAGAATATATATTACCAAATATAACTACATGTTCTGATTTCATGGAAGAACCGAATAAAGAATTTAAACTTTTACAAAGAGACTAAAGAGGACTATTTCTAACATTAAGTTAATTTCAGCTCCAAAACAACCCACTTGTTAATATTACTGTCAAATGGGATAGCGATCCATATTCTTTTTGTATTTGTTATTACTCTGATAGCATTACAGCGGTTTCAATACGACATCTAAATTTGGAAAGCACGACATTCAGTCTCAGTAGCCTAACCTAAGGATGTCCAGTTCACTCTCTCTGATATAAAACATGAATTTATCATAATTACACGTGTTCTTGCATCTTTGTTGATGGACTGACAACATAAAACTAAAGTAAAGAAATGACAACATATATTTTTTATCTCTTCTTGAAAAGAGACAATTCAAGATGGTAACTTCATAAACTCACGTTTAGCTTGACGCTACACATTGAATAGTTTTGTTGGGTGACATCATATGTAGTGGATAGAGACAGTACCCGTAGTATTGGCTTATTTTTTGAGTGCATTTTTGAGTGCACCAAGTGTTTGCCAAGTTCGTCGCTAATGCCCTACTCTTTCTCTTTTTACTTGTTTCCAAAGATGTTGTGGGTATGCGTTGTGATTCCTTAGACAGCTTTGCGTGCCCGATGATGACTTGTCCAGTTGACAAATTCAGCAATATTGATACCTTGAACAGACACATCAAGAAAAAGAACGGTCTCAATGCTGAAAGTGGCCTGTTTGAAAATGCTGACAATGACTTTAGAAAGCGTATAAAGTTGGAATATCCTGATTTTGATCTTCGTCGTGGCAATCATCTGGCACTCTCTTGTTCACCTTTGGCCTTACACCTTAAACACCATTCTATGACATCTACCCACACTTTCCATGTTCACCAGGTTTTGCGTTCACGTCGTTCGACCTTAGCTTGAGTACGACCTAGCTATCAATGGCTTCACGGTCACTCAAATTCACGCTCTAAAGGAAGACCAGAATAAGTGCGCCAAGAAAACCTACGAAGCTCGAGGCAAAGTGTCCACCAATACTATGCTCTATATGACCTAGTTGCCCCTTACATCGGAACGAGTCGGTATACTACAGGCACAGTTCCTCTTTCGTTCCTTATATTTGCCAGAAGATGTACTACTTGCTTGTCTGTTACCTTATATCCGCAATACCAGAGGAAGCCACTGGTACGCTCTCTCTCGTACATCGCTTTGGAAAACTGCACTGTCTATTACTGAGGAACCCCATACTCGCTCACTCAAGGCTGCTAAACGACGCTTTCTGTAACAGAATCTAGAGATCCGCCAACAATGTCAAAACTTCAAATTGCTTTCTAACCGCCGTCGATCGATCTCTCTGGATCCTATACTCTGGCTGCTCATGTCTAAATCAGAGCGTAGTTGCTGTATACGTTGGAGACTAGGCTGACTTCCTGGTGGTAAACCTCGACCATGTCCCAAACGCCCAACGCAACTGCTCTCTAAAATTCACACCATTAGTTGCCTTGATATACACCGGCATCTGTTCATGCCTGAAACCATACGAGGTCCATTGTCATTCCTTTCGAATATGCTTCCTTTACGTCCTTCGGTCTCCCAAACCTAGCCCTCACTTGGTCTCAACGATGGCCGACTATATACTCCGTACTATATGAATTAGATCAGCTATATCATAACAAATTAATCTCTAATAGGCATTCCTATGGTCAAAATTTTCTTGTATGGCTAAATCAATCCCTTTAGTTTTTCATCGATAATTCAACTTATTACTTTCCTTTTACATTTTTACCCTTGTACCCATAAGGGATTTTTTCGCTATTATTTACTTCCAAACGGATTGAACGAATTGAACGACGTTTATTTGTTTCATATTTTAGCGCCCAATTGGGCCATCAATAAAATATCCTGTTTAAACAAAACCAGCGACTTTGCTTTTTGAAATGATTGTACAAGTGCTATAATAGGCAAGATCATGCTGCTACTGATAAAGTACCCGGAAAGAAGTACATATTAAAATGACTAAAAGCAGACAACTAGGTGATACATGTACTTTGAGTTTCATCTCAGTTCCGCCAGTTGTACAATGATCTTTTACACTTTATAAAAGTCAACATCTCTCTGTTTTATACAAGCTTGATATATTCAATAATCTACTTTAGAAAAGATCTATCTTTTATGTCAAATCAGCAAAAGATTTCATAAAGAGGCTTGTTGTGATTTCAAGGATCCACGCTTTGATTACACAAGTATTCTCATATAGATCCACCTTCTCCCCTGCGCCTCAATCAGTATTTTTTTCTTTTTCTTTCCTCTTTTTCATTGTTGTCTTAGTTATGAATATTCAAAAGCCTAAAATCAATATTATTTTGGTGGGCGTTTCAAGGATTGGCATATCCACGCTTACACAGGCGTTCAGCTCAAGAACAGTAAAGACTTTCACCTTTGGTCCCTACCGCAGGCCAGCCAAGATCGTCGAACTGATTACTGATAAGGGCATATATCACATAATGGATCCACATCGCTTATATGATGCAGCAGATGAAAACATCACAAAGCAAAACGTAGGCGACATCATCAACCAGCTGAATCTCCTGGCTTCACCCTACATCATCTGTTTCGTGGTCACTTTGAATGTTGAAAGCGTTCACAGCATTGACCTTGAGATGATGAGAACCATCAAAAGATACCTTCATACTCCCAATGCAAAATACGCTCTTGTTTTCAACTTGCTGTCAACAAACCTATATTTCAAAATTGCAGAAGACAATAGCTTCAGAAAAACACTCTTAACAGCTTATCATCAGGGCGCAGGCGTTAAAGTGCCTGATAATGATATACTGCTCATTACCAACAGATTTATCAGTTATTCGATGCCGGAACAAAGTGAACTTTTAACAGAGTATGTAAAGAAGATCGAAGCAAAGCATATCAAAGAACAAGAACAGCGGTTAAAGGAGCTCTTAATGAAACAAAAACAACAGGATCATCTACATCCATCGTATTCATCGCAGCAGAAACGAGCTTCTACTATGCCTGCATTCAATCCTCGTCCCCAGAGCACGAGTCCTCCCTTGCCGCGTCGTCCAAATAGCTTTCAGCATCCAACTCATGCATATACCAATCCATCGGCACAGAATCTATATATAAATCCACGGCCACAGCCATATACCAACCCACAGTTATACAACAACACACAGCCACAGGCATACAATGCACGTCCACAGGCGTATTCTAATTCACGTCCACAAGCGTATAATAACCCACAACAGCCTCAGCCGCATTCTTTTAACCGTCCACAGCAGACATCGTTCAGCATGCCATCTTTCATCAATCCTCCCAGTCAGCAGCAACAGTTCCAACCCTTTGGACAATCTCAAGACAACATGAAGCAGCAACAACAGGTTTTACAATACATACAAAATATTCAGCAACAGCAGCAACAGCGAATACAGCAAATCATACAGCAGCAGTTGGAAAGCATTACCCCTACCAGTGACACATCCTCCGCTTTTAGCTTTTCTTCGAATGACAATAGCAGTAGTAGCTCGTTTGGGACAGACTTTAATATGGATCCTAGTAACTTTATGGACGCAACCCAACAGTCATTCAATACTGACCCCTCTTTCAACTTTGATCCAACTCAGCAGTCTTTTAATACGGATTCTTCATTCAACTTTGACCCATCCCAGTTTGGATTTGACTATTCCTCAAATCTTTTGAATAATTTGAGTCAATTCAATGGTGATCCTTTAAGCACTATGACTGGTTCCTTCATGGATTCAGCAGATGCAATCAACCTGATGGCTTCTGGGTTTAGTGGTACTGATACATTAAGCGCAACAACAGGATGTACAATCATGTAACTGGTTATCTATTATAATAATAAATAATAACTAAATTGAATGATATTAATGCTTGTCTGATTCATTCATTTTATTTGGCCCCAGCTGGAAATGCAGCTGTGTAAGACACAGCTTAAAGGACTGCTTTTAAGCCACCGCCTTTCATTTTTAAAATTGAATACAGGGAAAGGGAAACCTTTATTAGAGATTAGATTAAAAAATGGGAAAGAGAAAGCATTCTGACGAACAATCTTCACGTCATGTTAAAATCGTAGTTGCTGAAAAGCAAACTGATGTAGAACCACCTTACTTGGGTAACCTTTTTCTACTTATATGTCATTTTGAATAAAAAGAACTAATGGTCCCCTCTTCTTCTAGTGGCCTTTCCTGGTACAAAACCTTCCTCTGACTTGATTTATACACCTCACAGACGTGAAGAAGAAGGCAAAAAAGCTGAACAACGAGTCATTTCCGGTGAAACAGAAAAAGTGATATACACTGGCTCCAATTTCGGACGAGATGCTATTGACACTCACTGCAAGTATCTTGTTGGTGTTTATTCCAAGAAAGAGAATACACTTAGTATTACGAATGCACCCATCATGAGAATGAACCGAACCGTAAAAGCCTTACAAACAGAATCAAACGTACAAGGAAGCGCAACCCGTGGTATGGCAGCCCGTGCAGCTCTCGGTTTGGCTTTCGGTACAGTCAAGGCCAAGAAACAGCTGAATAGCGATGAACGTAATTTGGTTACGGGTGAGCAGTTGGCAGACGACATGGATAATTTGCATTCAGAGATTGGTAAATCAACAGCCAACATACCCAAGAAGGACGAACTTAAAAAATCAATGGAAACGGCATTACCTGTTCCCAAACACAACATCGAAGCTGAGTCACCTGAGGAAGCTTATGATCTGTCATCGATTGTGACAGATGAAGAGCTTAACTCGATCAACCCCAAGGAACTATTAAAGGAAACATCATTAGAAGGCGTCAAGTCTCATCTGGCTTATCGCGACTCTAAATTCATCAATGATCGTCTGATGGCCATCATTGCAGCTTCAGGAAAGAAGGATCGTAAGCGTGTTCGCACGTTGATGTATATCAATATTCTCATGGCATATTACGTCCGTGTGCGTGCATCAGACTTGAAAGATCGTAGAAAGGTAGAGACAGCACTAAAGAATCCTTCGAGTATAATATTAGATGGACTTGCTGAAAGATACACAGAATCCAATACGTAAGTTATATCATACCCACACATAACTCGCTAATTTATTCTATACTCATAGACGTACACCTGTTATGGCAGATAAACTTCTCTTATACATGTTTACACTCATCCTCTCTGTCTCTGGATATAGCGTGGTGATTGATCAATTAGGCAAAGATCTTTTACTCAAGCCTATCAAGATAACATCACTATTTAAGACACTAGGATGTAAGATAGATAAAGCAAGCACAGAAGAATGTCGTGAACTTGGTACAAAATCAGCAAAGAAGGCTCAGTTGATTGTCCCTTTAAAATTCCCTGAAGTCAGAACAGGCGGTGGACCTCGTCGTTAGAATTAATATACAGTGAATAGTTTATTTCAATAAAAGCTTTTCAACAAAAACACTAATAATTCGCACTTTTAATCCTTGGATCACTGTTAGATTTTAATTTTACAATAAAAAAAATTCAATTATGCATTTCTAACTTATGCTGTTCATTTGAAGTGAAGAAGGGATCAAGAAGATACATCCCAGTTTTTATCGTTTTCTTCTGTTAACTTTAATATGCTGGGATTTACGATTGTTTCTAGTGTTTCCGATGGAGGGGTGGAGAAACGATACTCTACAAGCTTTTTCTTGCGTTCTTCTTGAAGTTTTAGCATGATAAAAAGAAGAGCTGAATATTATTAAATTAGGTTTGAGTGAAAGTTTTATAGGGAGTATTTATATTGTCAGTATAATAAATGTAGCCAATGCTACTATAGTTATTATTGTTATAAGCTATTCTTATCAGATGCGATAGAGGAATGCGAAATAGAATGTATGCTCTACTGTAAGGTTATACTCGAGTTATTATAATGATTATCTCAAACACGTCAAGCTGTCTAAGAGCATCTTTGACGTCATCCAGTAAAATTGGGCAGGTATCTTGCGAAAAAGGAGTGGAGTGATAGCGCAACGAGCGATCTTCGTCCATATCTTGGAGTAGTCATCTGAATCTGTTTTATACACTTTTTTCATAAATTATTCGCACACATTACAAGATCAATAACAATTACACTTTATTTATCAATCTTTTATTATTAAAAAGACAACATGTAATAATACATAAAATGAACTTAATATTTTTGATATATATGATAAATGTGGTCAACACTTATGAATAACGCGTAACTGAAAACGTTGTTAAAGACCTTGTTCAAATAGTCTGATCTTAACTTCTTCTTCTCTTCTTTTCTTCTTTGGACCAAAAAGTAATACCAGCTATTCCCCAACTAGCCCTAAGGTATGTCGTATTCTTTACTCTTGTAAGAAATTGACCCGTAGTATTATGGATTACCCATCGAAACTAATCCGGTATTGGCTGGGGGTAGTTTGGTTCTTACTAAACTTTGGTCCCAGACAGTCATTCAACCCCTTCCGCTCCTTTGGCTCCTCTCTTCCTTGCTCTTTTTTTTTTTTTTTTTTTGCTCTTTCCGGAGCAGCGATAACTGGCTCTACCCATGATGCACTTGGGATGAGGTTAATAATTTATTTATAAGTTTACTCACTTTTCTTGTTTCTCTTTTTCTATTATAAATCTTCTTCTTTATAATGTAAGTATTTAATATTAATTTAAGAACTGATTTACTAATCATTTCTTTATTCGCTCTTCTGCTCCTGATGGGCTCTCTTTTATTATTATTTTGTTGTCTGAAATTATCATTTCTTTTATCTGTGTGCGAATAATTTGTAAACAAAGTGTATTAAAATAAACACTTCAACCTTTCTTTTCACACAGTTTAAGGTCCCAAGCTTATGTATACAAGTATCAACTAGTCTTGAACTTACACACCATATTATAGTGTTTGTTGCCTCCATTTTGACTTCAGATGTGGTACTATGCTCTCTGAGCCGCGCTTTTTTATTCATAGTTTAAATTAATAACAATAAAACTCAAAGTTTTCTATATTCTATATCTCTTTATAGCTTTCTAAGCCGCGGATTCGAGGAGCTAGTTATGGAGCATATCACAAACATTAATGAAAACGTGGCATAAGATCAACAAGCTATTTCGCTTACCAGCGAACAATTAGTGTTGCTCCTCAGTGAATTTGCTTCGAAGATCAGAGCAGAAGAAGCAGAACGAAGACGAGACGATAACAATGAACTCCCTTCCAGCATCCTATTCGAAATGGAAGAAACTCCCTCGGCTGACATGCAGATCACGATCAAACGATACGCACGGGATATTCCTTTCTATGATGGTGGGTCCTGGGCAAGATCAGAAGTCACCAACAAAAGCTTGTTTAATTACCTCAAGAGATACAAAGTGGATGCCCATTCAACCATTTCCCAAAAATATAAGGATGCTGATAGACTTGGACTCGCAGCCAGAGCAGCTACTGAAACCTTTGAAGATCTCCAATACGTCAAAAACTATGGAGGAGATCAGGCTGCATTGATTAGATCATGAAGGAAACGGGGCACTTCTCCATCTACAGCTTTGTCAGTGCAAGACACATTGACAAAGAAGCAAGAGAACTTACGACAAAATCACTCAGCCTTCCCGAAAATGACCAGTACCTGGAAGACGACGACGAAGAAGACAGTCGCAAACAAATGACATTCTCTTCCGAGATTATCGAGAAGATTAACTAAGCAAGTTTCGAACAGCATGTCTTACGTGCCGCTGCCAACAGAGGACGTGATTATCGAGAACGAGGCTTCTAACGAAGCAATCTCTCTAACTTCTCAAGAGGACGTTCACAATTCACCTCAAAAAAATTTTTTGGGAGGGGCAGGAACCGAAGCACCACCAATACGGAATCTACCAACAACTCCATCACAAGCCACCAGCAGCGAGGAACTCCCCGTCGTTATTGATACAAGACTCAGTGGTCACTACGAGTCCCCTAACGATCTCACCATCCATTCTTCAACAACATTACACAGTTCTGCCAGATAGCTCATTTCCTGGAGGTCGTCTATAAAAGTTTACGCACAAGTGGAGAGAGATGATGAATCGCCCATGGTGGGTGTCCGTCATATCCAAAGGTTATCGGACTCAATGGTCTTCCAAACCAATTCCATGACGACACAAAGAAATGACATTTAAAACCGAAGAACAAGTAGCCGTCGATTCAGCAGTGGAGAAGTTCTTTCCTGTCAAAGTTTTTTACATCACTAGAAGCAGCCAAGAAACACCCGATTTTGGACTGTCGCCGAGTCAATCAATGTATCCAAGCAGAATACAAGTTAAGAATATGGAATATTGATATCGTAGTTCAATATATATGCAGCAATTATTTCGACAAGGAAGCTATTTTGTTGAAGCACTAACAACAAAAGACTATTATTCTACTTTGTATTGCAACAATAGCACGACCACAATCTGATGTAGGTAATATTTAATATAGAGATGTACCACTACACTGTGATGACAAAGGAATGTTTTTGGGTGCAGTCATTCATTTTCGCCAACTTAAAGAAACACAATTCAAGTCCTGTACCATAGATATCGCACAAGATGTAGCCATTTACCCGGCCATCACTCTCAATGTATTCATACAGTGCACTCTGCAGTTGCGTACAAAATCATCTACCGACCACAGACTCTTTTTGGGATACATCGAGGATTCAAGCAAGGTCTGCTCGGCAAGAAGCGCATCGGTAGTTAACTGGGTGAAAGAAGTCATGCATAACGCGGGTGTAAATACTGCACTGTACGGATCACATTCTATAAGATCAGCATCAAGCACCAAGACCATTGAGCAAGGACATACGATTGAAGAAGTCAAAAAACATGCCAACTGGAGCCGTAGCACGCAGACATTTGAACGTCTCTACTACAAACCATCAACCAGAGCTTCTCTGGGCTCCCGTTACAAATTCAATTTTTACAGCGGAAAACCTCACCACATTGGAGACCGGAGTAGAGGCAACTGAGGTTATTATAGGAACGACCAATAATCAAAACGTTGCCGAAGTGAAGGTAGAAAATGTAGTAAATGCTCACCCAACAAAGTCATCCTGGTTCACACAGCTCAAGAACTTATTTTAATTTCATTTTTATTTGCACTATAACCTTCCATTAAAAAAATTTATACATCATAGCTAGCACTGAAAGATATAAGGAAGAAAGGGATTCTATTGGTTTATTATATATGAAAAATAAAGCGTGGCTCTGAGTGCATTTACCACATTTTGATTTGGCACTGGTGGCACTGTATTTCAAAAATTTATTTCAATACTTTGTCCGGAAATCAGTTTCGGGTGACTGTATTTTTTAAAAACATGTATCAAAATTTTCCCCCTTTCCTTTTTTTTTTTCCTTCTTTTAAAAGTAGATTGATCAACAATGGCTGCATCTACACCTTCCCACAATGTCGATACTATGACAAGCAAGGATTATTATTTTGATTCATATGCTCACTTTGGTAACGTAAAAGAAACAAATAGATTTTATTTTATTAATATCCTAGAAAGGTATTCACGAGGAAATGTTAAAGGATGAAGTCCGTACATTAGCTTATCGTAATTCAATCTACAACAACAAGCATCTGTTCAAAGATAAGATTGTTCTTGATGTTGGCTGTGGCACTGGTATCCTTTCTATGTTTGCTGCCAAGGCTGGAGCTAAGCATGTTTACGGTGTAAGGACATTATAATTATATAAAGATGCGTATTGATCTTTATATTTCAGATCGACATGTCCAATATCATTCATCAAGCTCGTGTGATTGTGAAAGACAATCATTTAGATGACAAGGTTACACTTATCCAAGGTAAAATGGAGGAAGTTGTTTTGCCTGTTGATAAGGTAGACATTATTATTTCTGAATGGATGGGATACTTTTTATTATACGAGTCTATGCTTGACACTGTTCTTGTTGCTAGAGACAAGTATTTGGTAAGTCGTATAAAATTTTATATATCATGAGGCTTATATCAAAAACATAGGCACCCGGAGGAATGATCTTCCCTGATAAAGCCACCATGTACATTGCAGCCATTGAAGATGGTGACTATAAGGAAGAAAAGATTCATTATTGGGACAACGTTTATGGCTTTGACTACTCCTCTATCAAAAATCTTGCCTTAAAGGAACCTCTTGTGGACGTGGTTGATGCCCGCAACGTGATCTCCACAGCCTGTCCGTTCAAAGAGATCGACATTGCCACAGTCACCAAAGCCGATTTGACATTCAAGGCACCCTTCAAGATTACAGCCACACGTGATGACTACGCTCATGCCTTCCTTGCCTGGTTCGATATCGGATTCACTCACTGCCACAAGCCCGTGAACTTTTCTACAGGTCCACATGCCAAATACACACATTGGAAGCAAACCGTCTTTTACACACCCGAGACATTGACCTTGAAGGAAGGCGAGAGTATCGAAGGTGAAGTGAGCTGTGCACCTAATCAAACAAACCCTAGAGATCTTGATATCATCATTGACTTCAAATTAGACGGTCAACATGGTACTATTCAAGACAAGTGTGAATATAAAATGCATTAAATTTTTTTTTCATGTGTAATATCTGAGTAAATAAAAGCATTTCCCTTTTTTTCTTCTTTTATTAAATGTCTCATTCCGTCCAGCTTCACGCGTCAGTATTAAAGTTTCTAGTCGATCATGGCTATATGGAATCAGCAGAAGCGTTTAAGAGAGAAGCTAGAAGGCTGTTGGATTTAGCAGAACAAGATGACGCTGTAAACACTGAACAGTTGGCACGTCAAATGTCACAATTACAAATCAAAAGGTAAACTTGTGAATGCAAAATCCCTCTTTTGCTTATTATAGTTTAGAACAAACGAATTAGCTGATGGAGATGAACATTACTTTAATATGTTAGCCAGAAGCTATGATGACATTCACTACTCCAACATTTTAGCTGTTGCGATCGAACCTCAGACCCAAGCTCTTGCAACCAGTTCAATTGACAAGACGGTCAAGATCAGCTCGTTCCTGAGCCATCACGAACTATCACCACGGACCTACCGACACCACCAGGCGCCCGTTCTGAGCATCGACTTTCATCCGAGATATCCTCAGTTGATGCTCACTACATCCATGGACGGCACCAGTGTGCTTGTTGATACGTACTTTGAACCTGAGTTTGGACAGGCGGTTGAAACATCAGGCGTGCACCAAGTGTTTAAAGATCATAAAAAGTATGTCGTGCGTGGATTATTCTCGCCTGGCCAAGGGCAGTACATAGCAACAGGCTCCTATGACCGAACGGTGTGCGTCTACAGACAAGTCAATGATGAGGGGCTACCCAAGTATGTGCTTGAGAGACAGCTGGGTCCATTCGTGGGTAACGTCGAGACAATCTGTTTTGCAAGTGACAGTTTGTTGATTGTGGGAGTGCGGGATGATAATTATTTACATTATATCCAGTTACCCGAGATGCACCAGCGCCGGGTCAACATGAATACCATGGGCGATGACTGGGTCTCGTTCTCGCCTGTACACCTCTCTGTGTCGGCTGATGGTCAGTACGTGCTGTGTACGACGGATCATGTGAGCGGAAGAACGATCTTGTTTGCCCTGGGTGAGTCAACGCAACTGCAAAACTACTATATTCAAGGCACAGATAACCAGTTCATGGTCAAACGTCACGTGTGGCATCCCTCTGGCTTATACTTTTATGCGTCGGGAGGAGATGATCATTCGATTCTGGTCATAGAGACAAAATCGGGTAGAGTTGTAGATACCCTGCTTGGACATAAGGCAATGATTCGGTCCCTTGTGCTCAATCCAGAAGTGGGGCTTGTAAGCGCAGGTTATGATCATACAGTCAAGGTGTGGACTTGGACATCAACACTGTCAAGATAATATATCAAATAAACTTTATTGTATGTACATTTATTGAGGTACTGTTGAGGAGCACGTCTTTGATATTTCGGCTACCAGATCATCAAACTTGGATTGATGTACAAACAATAGCCTGCGAGCGGGTTGAATGCCAAAGTCAGAGAATGCTCGTCTAGAATCTGCAGCCTGTTCCTTTTCACTGTTTGTAAATGTATAATCGAACTGATACTCTGCATAATTAGCAATGATCTCATCTTCAGATTGGAAATAAAAGGTTTCGTTATTGACTGGCTTTTTACTGCTGCCAGCCTTTTCTCCTTCTCCTTCTTCTTCGTCATCTATGGAAGAAGCAACTTCTCTATAGGTTTTTGAAATAAACATGTACCATTCAAATGAATAGGGCTCATTCTGTTGTACTGCCTTTTTTGTCTCTTCTTGAAGCATAGCATACATAGGAGGCATGATTTCTACTGGCATATTGATGAATCTTTCAGACACAACCCAACCGACCTGTTTATGATTCAGTATCTCGCTCACTGCCTGATGTAAGGGTTCGTTCTTCTTTGGACACTTGTTGAGTAAGTAACTGCATAGCTGTTGAATGCCTTCTTTGTCCTGTTTTATACGTGTGTCAGCATTGATTCTATAGTATACACATGTATACCTTTTGCTGTTGAAGGTTGATGACACTAAGAATAGCGTATGGATCTGATTTTTGATCGTCTACTTTGACTGTTGTTCCAACGTGATTTTCTTCAATCAAGATGTCAGCAAGGTCACTCAGATTGATGAGCTCAGCATCAGAAGAAAAGAGTTGAGTAAGCAGCTTCTTTAAGGCGTGAAAGTCTATTTCGTCTGGATTATAAAAGTCAAAATCGACATCGACTACTTCCTAAACAATACAATGAATAAAGGTGCTTCACACACACAAAGACTACTTACTTGAAGACCATCGTCTGAATCTTGTTCTTCTTCTTCTTCTGTTTGCTTATGTGATCTCTTCAGTGGTTTTTCATCTTCTTGTTCGTCTATAGGTGCTCTTCTCTTTAGGCTGCTCATATTTGATACTCGAAAGAAATAAAAAAGTTTTAGTGACTCGTAATTTAAAAGTAACAGGATTGCTACCATGACTACCAACTCGACAAGTATCACATTTTTAACTCTTTCTCTCTTTTTTTTTTAAAAAAACAAAAAAAAAACTGCGTCAGTTGCAATACACCGAATAGGATTCACGCATATTGGAGCTTTTTTTTTTTCAAAAGACACGTTTTTATACAAGAAGAACTCTTTTTTCGAGTGAACGACGTGCATGAAATTTGATAATGTTTGCAAATGGAAAAAAAAAAAAAAGCATGATTTCTAGCGTGCGTGTTTTTTAGACAAGACTTTCCAACACATAACATGAAAATGAACTACTATTTTATCATAGAGATAAAAATGGTGAAAATTCCCTGCATCATGCGATGAATTGGAAAAAAGCGTCATAAGCTGACTTAAGCTGACAAAGTCTATGAGAGTCTTTGTCATTCCCTTTGTCTAGACTACACATCCTAGGCCAGTAAACGGTCACATTGACAAAATTAGACCAATAGAGCATATATTGGGAAGGAACCCAACCCTGAAGGAGTGATGAAGGGCACTTTTTAGAAAAGAATAGGAGTATATCGGATGTTTACGGATAATTCCGACAAAAGCATGTGTTTAACCCCACATTTTAAAGTTGTGAATGAAGTCAAGATGATTTGAAAAATAGCAGAAAAAAAACAGCATTAAAAAAATGAGCTGTTTTTTTCTAGCTTCTGCATAATAAGCGAATCCAAAAATATACAAAAAAAAGGACACGATAAAGAGAAGTTAGGCTTGTGTAATAACTGCTTTGTCAGCCGATGAATTTTTCATATTTAAATTAAATTGGCTTTTTATTCTCTTTTCTTTCCCCTCCTTTGCTCTTTAAAAAAAAAACATACACATATAATGAATCAACACACAACTTCAAGTAAAAAAAGCATCAATGAATTATTAGTGTAGTCATGATAACTAATTATAAAAATAGATCTACGTTTAGCATGCGTGGTAAAACACAATTATATACTTTAATAAAAAAACAAAAGCGTTAAATCATTATATCATCAAGATGGTAGGCTTACCTGGAAGAGGTAAAACCTACATATCACAAAAGGGTAACCATGATACAATATAAATATGGGAACATGGATTAATTCGTTCATTAGTATGTCGATACCTACAATGGTTAGGTATCCATACCAAAGTGTTCAATGTTGGTAACTATCGTCGAAAACTATTCGGGGCAAAGCAAGATCATTTATTTTTTGACCCTAGCAACACTTCTGGATTATATCAAAGAAAGGAATCTGCAAATGCAGCTATTGCAGACATGATTCGATGGTTTAATCAAGAGGATGGTATCGTGGCCATCTATGACGCAACTAATAGCACGAAACAAAGGAGAAGACATATTCTTGAAGTGCTGTCAAAGGAAAACATTCAGGTTCTCTTTATTGAATCATTTTGTGAAGATGAAGCTATCATTATGGATAATATCAAACAAGTCAAGCTGAGTTCCCCCGACTATGCCAACATGAACCCAGAAGAAGCCGCCTCAGATTTTATCTCACGCATTAACCACTACAAGCTGCAGTATGAAACTATCCAGGAGCAGGACCTGACTTATATCAAAATGATAAATGCCGGATCCCAGGTCATCATCAATATGATTCGTGGTTACCTCGAGTCAAGGATTGTATATTATCTTATGAACCTTCATACCCAACCAAGAAAGATATACATGTCCAGACACGGTGAATCCATGTTTAATCTTCAAGGTAAAATCGGTGGTGACTCTGAACTTTCCCCAAGAGGATTACTTTACGCTAAAAAACTACCCGAGCTCATCAAGACTCATCTGGGTGACAAACAGCTCGTCGTCTGGACCTCGACTTTAAAAAGAACAATCCAGACCAGTCAGGGTCTGAACTATCCCAAGCTGAGTAGGAAGGCATTGGATGAACTGGATGCTGGTGTGTGTGATGGAATGACCTATGAGGAAATTGAAGAGAAGTATCCTGAAGATTATGCTTGTCGTGATGATGACAAGTTCAATTACCGTTACAGAGGAGGTGAGTCTTATAGGGATGTCGTCCTTAGACTAGAGCCTGTCATCATGGATCTCGAGAGACAAAGAGACATATTGATCATTGGTCATCAAGCTATTCTAAGGTGTATCTATGCTTACTTTATGAACTATAAGCATGAAGATTTGCCCTATATCAAAATACCTCTTCATACTGTGATCGAATTGTCTCCCAAGGCGTACGGATGCGAAGAGAAGCGATACAAGGTTGATATTGACGCTGTAGATACTCACAGACCAAAGCCAGTCAAGTCAAAACTCTCAAAGCAAACACAGCAAGAGATGAAATCGGGTGCAAGTGGCCAAAAGATAAACAATAGTCCAATACTGCCTATAAGTCCACAATTTATGGCCTAAGACAGAAAGAGAGAAATGATTGGTTAATAAACGTCGGAAATTAAATATATCACCATAAAGATGATTTTCTTATTCCCTTTTTGTTTTCTCTTTTTTTTCTTGTCTTATTTTTAACCAAGAAATGCTTAGTCACTGTTGTTTCTGTATCAATCTCAAGTAAATACACACACAATAATGAAAAGAATGACAATACTTATATCCAGATAGAACTGCAACTTTATTATTAGCCGTCTTGGGCACCATTAGTCATCTTTATGGTGCTTTAACCTTGACTGCATTATCGGATGAATTCGAAGATACTGATATGGGTGCAGTCTTTGGTTTGACTGCTTACTCCTATCTCTCTGGATTTGCTTGTTTAGCAGGTGCTATTGGTGTTATTAAAGTAAATAAGGGTCAATGATAAATGAATGTGTGTGCGCAGTACTTATTTATATTTTTATTTATAGAATAACGTTAAACATCTTAAATTCTTCTCCATTTATTATTGGGCAGACCTTGTGTTACATACTTTCTTTTCGGTAGCCAGTGCCGTCTTACTCTTCAGTCTTGATCGTGAAATTTGCAAGGAAATTGTGAGTGAAGTCAAGGATGATGAATTAGACATGAATACATGTGAATCTATTTATATTTCAAGCGCATGGATTGTTACATTAGCTATGGCTATTAATATGCTCCTGAAGGTGAGTTAATACTAAGGCCATAAACCAATATTAAACATAATCTTAGCTTCATTTTGCCTTCGCTATTCATTCTTACACTCATCGTGTCCAACAAGAGACAAGCATGGATACTATTGAAGAACGTGTCATCGTTGCACCTTATCCCGCTGCCCAAATCTCCAAAGAACAACCTATCTTTGTTGCAGGTCAAGAATTTATTTCTGATGAAAAGAAGCAACAACAGTAGATTGAACTGTTCACATCTTTATGTATATTCCCCCCTCTCTATTTGCTATCATAAACAATAAAACATGTATCGGACCATGAAATTCTCAAACTCTTTATTATGCATTTTAACATCAGCACTTTTTATTTTAAGCAGTATGAAAAGAAAAAAAGAGGAAAACAAGTTTTAAGCGCCCAAGATGGGGAATGCGCTATCATCAGACAAGTTGACAGAGATTTGATCTCCACGCTTTCCACGCTGAGTACCGCGGTTATGACGACCAGAAGCATTACGACCACCAGATGGACGGTAACTTGGCTGATCAATTTCCAGATAGGATTTACCTTTCTTTGCTTTGCCTTTAGCTTTAGAACCAGCTTCGTCCTTTATACAACAAAAAGAAAAAGAAATTGAGCACATGAAGAAATATGAAAACAACAAGAGAAAATTTATTCATCCGCTGTTATTTTACCTTGCCAACAAAGTAATTATCAGATTCTTTACGATATGGAACTGCTTCTTTCAATTCGCTGTCAGCCACGCCTTCGTTAGGCTTACGTGGTTCAGGGAGAGTGGGAAAGTGACCAGATGACTTTCGTTCTTCAAGATACTGATCTAATGTCTTGGTATGATCCTCAGTCGTTTCATCCGCATTAAATCTACCAGTCTCCGGAGCATCTGGGTCCTTGGGATCTAATACGTCATTTGCACTAAAATTTTTTCAATAAAAATCTTCGTAATCATGATGTTTTTTTTTTTTTTTTTTTACCCTTGGAGTTCGGAGGTGCCAGCTTCACCCCAACCCATTGTTACTTTCTTTTCATTATCACTTTTAAATGAAATGAGTATAGATACTTTATGTATATAAAGAACTTACTAGATGCCAGTACGGCTGTGGCGGTCGTATATCTTGTTTCTGCCTTCTTTCCAGATAGCCTGTTTTTCTCTCTTTTCACTATTAATAGCACCAATATTGGGCTGATTGGTATTTTCTTCAAGAGGTTGTTGTCCGACATCTTTTGGACGACCACCGCGTTGTTCTCTTCTTGAGGGAGGTGAGACTATAATTCGTTAATAACCATGCATACGCGTATAAACATGGACTTACCAGCAGGAACTCGCTTTTGATTAATTCTGCGTTGTTCGCGACGAGTGGGTGGTTGATCTTTATCTTTCTTTTCTGCAGGTTTGAGGTTGCCTAATTTATCAACTTCTCCTTCTTCTTCTCCCAAAAGTGCAGCAAAACGATTAGGTGTGAACGACATTTTTTTTACGAGTGAAAAAAGGTGAGAAAAAGATAGCATGATGCTCTATTTATATACAAAAATAAGCCACGTTTGTTCATGTGAGCGGGGTGAGGTAATAGCTAATGTTGTTTATGCAGATTGCCCCTTCTCTTCCTCTTTCTGCTGTCTTTTTTTTTTTCTCTTCTTTTTTCTTTCTTTATCATTTTATATCCAAAACTATTTGGAGATACTTGATATGTATATTTCTTAATTTAATCTAAGTTATTGTCATACCCACACTCACGCACATTCACACACAAGACGCGCGTTCCGTGTACCCACTGTATACCGTTTTTGGGTTTTAAATTTTAAAATGGAGTCTATTGTCGTTGATTTACATCATATACCCTTAACATTGTTTCCCTTATTACTTTTTGGTGAAGGGGTTTGATATATTACATCAGAACCCAAAAGCTTGCCTTTAGCAAATAATATCAGCATGACACATGACTTAATACAGCTCTCATTTGACACGTCGTACGTGCCTGTTTTTATAAACATGTTTGTTGCGCGTATAAAGCGAAAATGAGCATTTCATTTATTGATATGTATTCAATTGGAGACCATTTAGAGTCTGCAGCAAGACCAGCAAAGACCAATCATTCGTGTCTTTGGTTCAAAGCCTGCAGGACATGCTGTTTCACGAGCAAAGCATGAGTTCCAGCAGGTGGATTTCTTTTTTTGAGCTTCAACGACGTTTGAATTAAGCAAGAAGGTACCGACAGCAAAGAGGATGAGAGCAGAGATCTTCATAATAGGTGTAAAAAGTTGGAATGTAAGAATAAAAAGAAACGAAATAGCAAATGGAGCATAAATAGAGACAAGGAAGAATGTTGCTTGGAATTTTAATTCTTAGCCTTTTGTGGCAGTAGAAGAGGCAGGAACCAAGAAGAACAAGAGGTAGAGAAAAAGATTATGATATGCATGAGAATTAGACTAGAGAGTTCAATACATCACCATCATTTTAAGGTTGTACGTGACAGAGACCTATATTTATCCTTCTCTAAATAAACGACTCTTGATTACAGATGGCTTCATCCTTTGCTTCTTCAAGCTCTTTTATTGAGCCAAAGAATGAGAAGACAATAACAATGTCAACTGCTTCAAAACCAACCTCCTGTCATGTGCACGCGGAAACTAAAAGAACGCTCAGAGCACCCTTCTCTTGATTTGACCGCAGGCAGCCTCTGTGGCTTGGCTTTGTCTCGGTGTTTCACAAAAAAGGAACACTTCAAGGTGAGTCATAATTTTTTTCCCTCTTCTTCTCTTTATCCCAACCAGCCATGTCTCTTACACCCGAGCAAAAATACGAACTTATTACCCGCAACCTTCAAGAAGTCCTTGGCGCTGACGATATTAAAAAGATTCTTGCCGAGCGCGACTTGAAAATGTACTGGGGTACTGCTCCCACTGGCAGACCTCATATTGGTTACTTTGTGCCAATGACTAAAATCGCAGACTTTTTATCAGCTGGCGTTGAGGTAAAATACAGCAAAGAAAGGATATATAAGGAAAAAGAAGTTAATGAGGATACCATACTTTAGATGACAATTCTTGTAGCCGATATTCACGCCTTTTTAGACAACATGAAAGCACCTTTAGAACTTGTACAGCACCGTGCCAAATACTATGAGCATATGATCAAGACCGTTCTTAAATCACTCGGTGTGCCTATTGAAAAACTCAAGTTCGTCATTGGCTCCAGCTACCAATTAAGCAAAGAATATACCATGGACAACTTTAGACTTTCTGCTTTGGTTACAGAGCATGATGCCAAAAAGGCAGGTGCTGAAGTTGTCAAACAAGTAGCCTCTCCTCTCTTGTCTGGTCTCTTGTACCCAGGTATGCAGGCTCTTGATGAAGAACACCTCAAGGTTGATGCTCAATTTGGTGGTGTTGATCAACGAAAGATTTTCGTAATGGCAGAAAAGTACTTACCTCAACTCGGTTATAAGAAGCGTGCTCACTTGATGAATACAATGGTGCCTGGATTGACCGGTTCCAAAATGTCTGCTTCCGATCCCGATTCCAAGATTGATTTCTTAGATAGCGCCAAAGATGTACAAAAGAAGATCAAAAAGGCATTTTGTGAGGAAGGTAATATTGTCGACAACGGCCTTTTAGCATTCATCAAAAACGTTTGGTTTCCCCTCAAGTCATTGAATGGAAATAAGCCTACATTCACTGCTATTCGTCCTGAACAATACGGTGGCAACATGGTCTTTGACAATTACGAAGCTTTAGAAAAGGATTTTGCTGATAAGAAGGTGCACCCAGGAGATTTGAAGGCAGGTGTGATTGCTGCTATCAACGAATTATTAGACCCTGTGCGCAAGGCTTGGGAGGATCCTGAATCACAAAAGTTATTAGAATTAGCTTATCCTGCACCTAAGCCAGTAGAAAAAGTGAATCCAAAGAAGGAAAAGAAGGAAAAGAAGAAGGCAGAGAGAGCCGCTGCATTAGCAGCCAAGGCTGCTGCTGCTGCTGAGAATGGTGAAGTACCTGCTGCACAAGAGGAGACCCCAAAACAAGAATAAATAAACTTTATTCGATACATGAAACGATGTATATAATTTGTACAGGCTGCGCCTTCTTTGGCTTTCTAATCACTAAAACGAACAGTCTTTCTCTTTTTTTCTGGTGGAGGTGTGCCTTTACTTTTCACTTTTTTAATCTCTTCGTGGCCTTCAATATCCACTGTATCTGAACTGGGCTTTTCGATGTCTTCTTTTTTATCAGGTACAATCCGTTTTCTTTCTGACGGCAAAAGATAGATCGGATGTAAAAGTGGAATGGCGATATCATGCTCATGCTTGGGTCGCTGTGCAAATCTTGCATGGTTCAGTATATGCTTCAACTTTGAATCCGTAAAGAAATCTTGAGAATTTTCCTCTACTTGTTCTCTTCGTTTCAGCAACTCATGTTCAATCGTGTTACGAATGACCAACGTTTCCACATATACGGGTCGTGTCTGTCCTATACGATGCGCGCGCTTGATGGCCTGTTGTTCCATGGCTGTTTGCCAGACAGGACTGACAAAGAAGATGCGGGTGGCAGATGATAGGTCAATACCGTAAGCTGCCTTCCGCACAGGCATTATTATCACATTTGCATTTTCGGATGTATTGAATGTCATGATAATTTGCGACCTTTGAGAATTACTCTAAAAAGGTGATTAGCCCACTCCTTCTCGATTTAAAAAGACACCATTTACCATTTTGCTTTCGTGATATATGAGGACTCTTATTTTTGCCAGATGGGTCAGTAACCAATATATCTCAACCATTTCATTGTGATGTTGTGCAAAGATGATGCATTTTTCCGTTGGTTGGTATTTCACTACTTGGTTGACAAGATAATTTAACTTGCTGCTGGTGGCACCTAGGATACGAGCATCAGAGAGAGCATGGCGGGTATAAAATGTCCACGCCTCTTGGCTCTCTGTTTGCTGCTCAGATTTATTAGGGTCTATTGTACGTAGTTGCGCTCCGTCATAATAAAATAAGTGTTGCATGTCACTGGACTTCATTGAAGACAGCATTTCAAGGATATCTATCAACTTATCTTCCTGCACTACACACGGTCCGTCCTCCCATGGTAGTGAGGACCCAATGTGTGTGTATGCTCCTGCGCTGCCCTTCAGTAATCCCCAGTGTTCCTTGAAGACATGCGGTAGACCTTGAACGATCAGTGCAGGAAAGTGTGAAGTCATGATTTGCATAAACATCTCGCAACTGACAGCTTCATGCAAAATGGCTCTGATGCTTTTCAAATCTTCGTTTTCTTGACCATAATCTTCCTTACCTTGTTCGACATCATGGCACTTTTCCAAGCAGTTGTTATATGCTGCTTCGATGAGGCCAGGAGAGACCGAATGCCATAGACAGCTCTGCCAAAGGTTATGCACGGTTTCTCTTAATGACTTGTAGTTCTTGGAAGAAAACAAATAATCAGGCCCTTCGCGTTTGGATAAGATTGCATTTAAAGCAATCATGGCAATTTGGCAGTTATGTGTCTGTAAAGGAGATTAATGACGAGGCAACTGTAATTTAATTATGCTAATATACCAGCCATTGGTAGTAGTCAAAATCCAGAAACACAATATCTTGATGTAAGGGTGGAAGTGAAACTTCTTTTTCAATATCCTGTCGCTGGGTACGTATCATGGTCCTTTCTAAGATGTCAATAAGCCGTCGCATGCCCCAAGGCTTTCTGCTCAGGAAGGGTCTCGTCACCATTCGATGCCATAATTTTTTACTATCCTTGAAGGGCTCCATGCCAAGAGCCTGGCCAAAGAGCTTTCCTAATCGATCTAGATCGTCGGCCTCGTTCAAGTCCTTACGCGATAATGTTGTGTCTGTGAGGTTGTGAGTGGGTGTACCGGTACATACCCATTTTGCATTACAAAAGAGTTTTCTAGATAGCTCAGCTAGCTTGTTTTCATTGGATAACCTATGGCCTTCGTCTAGCAAAAAGAAAAGGGGTTTTTAATGAAAAGAAATAGAATAGTAACATGTCCAATATACCAACAATAACACGTTTCCAATGTATCTGCAACAAAGGGGAAACGTATTGTTTTGGGTATTCTGTTACTGCGCATATACAGGCTCTTTCTCTTGTAGACCCAATGTATGGACACTGACAGACGGTACCTACAGATAAACTAGCATTAATACTTGAATTGGGCAGAGCTTATTTGTTACCTACTCCGAAAGTCTAATCCACCTTGCTGGTTCTCATGGGCGAATCTGCTTTGACTTATGATGACGAGATCAAGATCAAGTAATTCAAGAGGCGGCTTGATTACTTGTTTTAATTGATCATAGACGGTAAAATGAACTTTACCATCTTGAACATGCTTATAGATTTCACCTGTCCATTGATCAATCAGATTATCAGGGACTATTGCGCAAGAAAAGTACTGGATTAATTGTAAAATGACTCTTAATTACAGGATCTTACCTATAATAAGCGTCGCATTGGATACGTAAACAACTAGTCTCGTAAACTGAGGCTCTCTTCTTCGCGATCGCTCAAAATTAAAATGAAGAGGAATATCGACCCATTCGTAATGCAAAGGGTATGCCTGGAACCATTCGACGACATCTTCGGGTAATCGATCTGAGATGGCATTCCAATTGATGCCAGACGATAGCAGCTGTTCGGCTGCTATTGCCTTTAGTGTATGTGGCTGATGTTTTTTCAGGTTAGTCTTGATGAAACAATCCGTATTAATTGATGAAAAAGGATAGAGCAGATCCTTGGTAGCCATGACAGCAGCCAAACAAAGACAGGTCTTTCCAGTACCCTGGCGTATTTAATATGATGTATTGGTGCTTCCCTTTTATGTGTTATCATTTCAAGCTTTACTTACCATATCCTCACAGATGATTCCACCAAATAGATCTGTCATTCTATCAGGCTTACTAGATAATGCGCCTGTATATTGATTTAAATAGATAGTTGATCCATCTATAGCTTTGAATTGAATGACTTCCGGTTTGTCTACTTGTTTGGGCACAAGTTCTCTCTCTAGCATTTTTTGGAGTGAATTCTAACTTTTCCATAAGTGGTGCTTTATTTACGAGAATAAAAAGAACAAACCTTTTGGTATTGATACAAGGTAGTCTTCATTCCAGGCAAATGTGGACTCAAGTTGTACAAGAAGTATGCGACATCATGATTACTGCTCTGTGACAGCTGAGGGTCAATAGAGGGTGAAGGTAAACGAAGAAATATGGACAGCAGGCTTGACTCGATAATGGAATCAAATACGGATATGAATGACTCATCTGGCTGACTGTTTCTATTGATGAATGGTAATAAATTGAGTAGACGATTGATATCAGAAGACTGTAATGTTTGGTCAAGCACAAGCTGAATAAGAATAGAACATAGGGATTGCTTAAATAGGCAACCCACTGTATTAATAACTCCTGTGCTTGCAAGCTTTGATATCAAGTTTAATTTTTGTTGATCTTGACTATTAGCTCTCATCATTGATATGTCACATGCATTCCTTGCTTCTGAGCTTGCAGGCGTAGTGAGTTGAATGTCTACATAGCCTAAACGAATTGACATTTTCATTGGAAAAAAAGGAAAAGGATATTAAAATTTTCAATTTGCATAAAATAATTTTGAAAGGCATATTTGTTCCCAATGATTGTTGCCCTCCGTTCCAGGCTCCGATGAAGGCTCTTTCCAGACCGTGATACAGTCTTTTCAAAAAATAAAGTCGCATCTTTGCAGTTTTTATAATACAATTTATATGAAAAAGCGACAAGTCAGCGCGACATCTCTTTCTGTAAATGGTGCAATAATAGCAAATAGTAGCTACTAGTGTAACAATAATAAATAATCAAATTGACCACGTTTATCATGCTGACGATATTCGATCTCTTCTATAAAATGCGCACGCGTCTTATTTTAATAATATTTCTTTCTTTTTCATGAATGATCTACTTCGCGTGCCGTCGACTTAATAACCTTTTGAACAAAGGTAGCGAAATGAACTTGATTGCTAGGCATTTGAGTTGTTTTGTGCAAATGAAATAGTATGTTATTATTAAAGCGCTTGGATAGTGTGCTTGGTTAATAAAAGTTATACGTAAAAATGGGCTTGTTTACTTACCCATTGACTTATATGTGTATTAGGGGCAAGGCTTCAGCAGTAACATCGAATACGGACCCGACGAACAGCAAGATGCGCCCAGATGTGATTTTCTACATCAATATCAATGGTAAACAATTATAGATCGGCAACGGAAGATAAAACAAAGAGCAACCTCAAAGAAAGAAGTGGATGAGGCCAGCACAAGGATGATAGGTGTCTACAAGAGGCAACTGTACCTGAAGCACGCAGGCGCCAAAGATGACTTAGTCATATTTGGCGTTTTGGTTCACGGTATTGTCAAATTAAAAGCGTATGAAGTTGTATAGAAAAATAATAACCTGTGAATTAGGACTACGATACGAGTTTTTTGTAATATCGTATATCGACATGTATTATCCGTTTGAAAAGCTTGCTTGGGGGTGAGTTTGCTAGCTCAGTTGATAACCTTAAAACTTTCCAGTCATTACTTCGGCTCAAGGTAAAGCGATAAAATATATAAAGTATACACGCTTTGCCAAATTTACATTGTTTAGTCAGAAATCAATGGAGCAACTTGACTAGTTTACCGAATACAAGTAAACTCTTCCCAACAGTTAGCTACTTCACAGAACACAGTTGAAATAGATGACTGGAAAATATGCATCTTTATTTTTTTTTCTTCATCAATAAAATAAACAACAGTTAACATACACTTTTTATCGTTATTAAAGAGCTGAAGGCTAGTATTTCATTTTGAGTTATAATCTTGTTTTCATTCATTTCAACGCTTGCTTAATTATGAGATGGCTGAATCGTGGTCAACGCCATCAAACAAAAAAGCAAATGCCCAACTAGCCTTACAAAGAGCTTCAACTCAGCTTAGAAATTGGCTGGTGTGGCTCTCCCCGTCCGACATGGTTAGGACAAAGAAATAAAAAAAAATTGCCTTGCACACGCCTTGAAAAGAGTTAAAAAGAGATTGTTTATTGTTTATTTTATATACTTTAAAAAAATTAAGCGCGGCTCGAAGAGCTTATATCGCATTTTTTGTCCCCTTTTTGTCAACTTTAGCATCTGTCTCTTGAAAAGTGTCTCATTTGAAGGTCTGCAATGATCTCTAATACAAAATGAGTTCGTCCAATAAAATTGTGCAATCGTCCCAGATTTTTTTTGTAACCGTCTTAGGTTAAAATTCTGTACAAATGTTTATTTTTTAATTTAAACAAACAAAGCAATAGACTTTAAATTCAAAAGCTTTATTCAGTCTATTATTCCTTTAATTTGTTGATATCATTCCTTTCTATATTATTTATTCTTTGCAAATTAGCTGCTATGGAAATAAGCTACTTTTATCCCATCTAATTTTTCATTTTTTTCTAATGAGTTCAGATTCAGTTTTTATGCATTGTTTTGTATCACAACTTTTTTGACTTTCTTTTTTGTTTGCTTGACTGTTTCAAACATTACAGCTATAAAGGATTCCTTAGTGAATAAAACAAGAGAAAGAGAGAGAAAGAAACAAAGAGGGGAAAAGATGATGTATAATGATACAAGATTTCTTTATTATCATATATTCTCCCAAAGAAATTTGCTACATGAATAACCTCCTTTTTCAAATAGTAAAAAGTCCCCCTTAAATTTCCTTTTTCTCCTTGTTTTGTTTCGTTTTCTCATCTGTTTTTCTTTTTTTTTTCTTTCTCTTACTTATTTTTATATTGTGTGTGTATTTGTGTGTGTGTAAATAGTCATGTTCAGCGCTTCCCCTGCAAAAAGAGAACTAGAAGAGGATTCAGACATCTTAGACCCAAGCCAATTTATGTCCTATTCACCCCTGATTGAAGATGGCTCTTATAAACGGCCACGTTACGAGCACCACACTTGGACCCTTGATCATTTATGCACGTCCCCATATAGTCCTTTAGCAACAGTTGATTTACAAGTAAAGAGATAAAGAATACAGACAATAGTATACATCCGTATATGTCTCTAACATGAATCTTACATCTATGTATAGTCTATATTTAATTTATCTAATTTTCAATTACTGTCACAAGAGAAAAGAGAAGAACTCTGCCAATTATTACCTGTTGTGGACACCATTCAACATCCTCAGTCAAGCTCTTTAACTATTTCACCTTCCTTCTTCTCAAAGCAGACAAATCCAATCTTTTGGGATACCCTGACTGAGTGGCAAGCTCTGTTAAGTCAAGGAGAGATCATCATTGACCAGCCGGAAACTACACTACAGCTAAAGCCAAAGCATAAATCAAAGTTAAAAAAGCCAAAGATAACCCATTACAAAGTAAGTTGTTCGTACGTGTACAATAAATAAAGCGACCTAATCATTCTTTAAAGGATGATCATGCTGATTCAACATTTGGAGATACGACGGATAAAGAAAAGGCTCATAACGTAGCTGGGTAAGTAGTAAAAAAATCGATAGTCAATGATCATACCAACCGTCTTTCTTTAGTGATTCAAAAAATATTACGCTTAAAGACATGTGTCGCAAAGGCTTAATACGTGAAGAAGACGTTATTGTGTATAAACGCAATTTCAGTGCTTGTAAAATAGTTGTATGTAAATCGATGACAGTTGTCAAAGCGAGTGGTCTGTCTGGTATCTCTATTCAGTTAGATGGTCAAATATTTGAGGATTTTGAAACCCCGACTGCATTAGAAACCAAGATACTTGATCATCATGGTAAGGTGTCCAAAGATAAACGTCCAAACGGTAATGCCTTCAAGAGCATCCGATTAATTCGAGCTGGAAAGGATTTGGGTAGGCTATTTGATATTCGTAAAGATAGCTTTGAAGAACCATAGACCTTAATTTCCCCCTATTCTTTTTTTAAATTCCCCCCTAATAAAAAGAAAATAACATAATAATAGAGCCCCTTTTTTCATATATTTATTGTCATAAACTAGCCTTTTTAATAAAAAAAAAGCTGTATAAAAGCATAAAGGATGTGTATTGGCATTGTTATGGCTTTGAGTATCAGTGCAGAAGCACTGACTAGACTCACTTTAATAAACAATTTATATTCATGCTGATCTTAGGAGTCTGGTTGTTACACCATATGTCCATCATTAATCAATGATAGACTGCGTGTGCATATATAGTTTCATATGAGGGGCACTAGTTGCTGTAAGTGATTTCAAGAGCCAAACGGGTGATACGACTGTGATGCAATCGTAGCACTCAGACAGAGTTATCAATGCTACAATAATAGAAAAACATATCGTGGGCTAACCTGCCTTGAGCGCATAATTGCTATTTCATAAAAATAATGAATAGAGTCCTTTCTCAACTGTTTAAATTGGTTTCTGTCTTGTTAATACATTCTGTTTCCAAGGAGGACTGTGAAGTTGTGTAGTGTACAATAGTTTAAGTTGTCTTATACTCTCACCATGATTGGACAAAAGAATGCGCCAGCTACTAAGCAACTAAAGGGCGCTTTGAGTGTGAAAAAGATAGTAATGACAAAGCCCATGATTATATTTCAGCTTGTCGTCAGCTGTTACCTTTGACAAATGTTGAATATCGAGAGTGTGTCACTGACAACAATTCATTTTTAGTATTTTGAAGCTAATGATCTCAACACAATAAATATTTTGAAAACTATTTGTTCTTGTATGCATGCCCTTCATCTTTTTTTTTATATCTATTATTCTCGCTGTATTGTTTTTATAATAATAACGTAGTATCATAAAAAAGGTGGGTTCTAGTAATGAAAAAAAAAAATCTAGTATTTGATATAATATTAATGGTACTGCATGGTGCTGCACCTCCTAATAGCAAAAAAGTAAAACAAGAAACTGAGTTTGAGAATAGAGCTTCTACACCAAGTAAACTTGGAAGTAAAATGAAATAGAATAGTATCATCTAATGACAGACGGTGTATAATATGTTATTTATATACAAATAAAAGGCATTACACCCTAGTATTCATGTTCATGGATGACATTGTCGAGAATATTTGAGTTGAAGCAGGTGAATCTCTTATACATCTATTCGATATTGGGGTCATCGAAAGCCACGAGACCAAGGTATTCTTTCAATAGGTCTTTTTGTACATGCTGGGTTGAGACCACACTATCCTAAAGATATAAACGATTAGTTATGGCATATATCCATATTCACGTTATTGATGTACATACAAACAAAGAGACAAGTAATTCAAGATACTGAAGTAAGTCAACTCTATCGTTCCAATCCGTTGGCAATGTGGAAGAACGCTTTTCAGCAAACTTCCAGTGGTCTTTGTCGGAAAGGGACATCTCCAAAAGCGTCGCCTGCGTTTTGATTACGTGGACAGAGTAAAACCTCAGCTTCTTGAAGGTCTCTAAGGAAGCATTTTTGTAATGAATGGCTTCTTTTTCAAAGCCGCAATACTACACTCTAGGGTCTTTAATGAATCTTCAATGGAATGAGTCACGTGCTCCTTCAGGTGACCACTACGAAACATAAAAGGCGTGAGTAAAGAGAATAAAATAATTTGATATATATTACCTTGATGATTCAATAATGGCAGGCTCCATGTTATTTTGAGTAGTTAATGTGCCAAGAGGACCGATACATTTGCTTGGCGGCGCACCACGGAGATCATCGTCATATTCAGTAAGATTCAATGACTTGGTAGAATGGAATTCTGTTTCGCATCTATGACAAAAATGTAAATAGAATGTTCATTTTCCTTTTTCTTTTTTCTACCATTTAAAGCTCGATGAATCCGGTGTTTTTGGCCAAGGCTAGTAGCGAAGGTACAATATTCTCGATGAAATAAGATCCCTCGTGATCATTCATATACTTTGGTGTTGTATCTCATAATTTCAATAAATGCTCGAAATGTACCGATTAAACCATCGTGATTCGTGGTCCAAGTTTGCTATTAAATTCGTCATAAGGTACATTATTTAGTATGTATGCAGCATGTTCAAGTATATCGAGTGATCGAAGGGACTTGTCCATCTTCTGTTCATTTTCATATAGTCATGTTGAGCAGCTGTTGCTGAATGATATGTTGAAAAAGATGTACCAAAGTGGAATATTTCTTTTAAAGCGTGAATTTGTAACTTTCTCAATTTGGGTTTAGAGGATGTTCAAAATGAGCCGTTGGATGAGCCATACGATAGTTATTGGAACTCTCCTTGATATTAACTTCAGACTGCATACAGATAAAAATAAAATAAACACTGAAAGTAGCAATACGAAATAAGTCTTCAACTTGTCAATCTAGAACTACTTGGAGGCCGTATATTAGTCTATAGGTTATTAAGTACGGATATTTTCAATCATCACTAAGAGAAAAAAAAAACGTGGCAGGCTGCTGCTTGAGAATCACTACTTGTGGCGGTGGATCTTAGTGATTCAACTTGCTGGTCGGTCACAGCGCTAATCAACTCCGTGTAACCCAATCTAGTTTCTATCAGTATGTTCGAATCTGATCGTGCATTCCAAAAGCATGTGTAGTCTGCACTCAATGTCCAGTTCTTGTAGTCATCACGAATCTTCTTATCGTGATCATTGTTAGACTTGAAATACTCGTTTAAAATGTTTCCAGATCATTGCTGAACCTGGCTTCTGCCCAGGCAGTCTCAACGCTCAATAAACTCTTTGAATGACAAGTGGTTGAAACGATCAAGGTACTACTGAGCATCTTCAGGAATTTTCTTTTTATTTTCTGATTTCTTTACCTTCTTAGGAGGTATTATTGTTGGCGTGAGAAAAAAGAAAACACCACATGCATCAGAAAATACACCAGAAGTTAGACTAATTTTATGGATGCCAACTCTACCTAATACCTATGATATTGTCCAACAAAACTTTTGGATGTATAGCATGAAAAGAGAGATAAAAAGAAAAAATAAAATGTGACACTAAGAGCTTATACTACTGGAATTTCACAAACTCCTTTTCTCAAGGATGTACGTAATGGTGTGACATCTAACTTTCAGTCTTTATGTATATGTTGTATTATAAATTTTGTGTACATGCAACAATGAATAGCACTAGATGATGGTTTATGATGCATGATAACATGAAACACTGCTTATTGTTTGGACGGCCTATTGAGAGATATATCCTAAGCACATTTGATCAATTAAAGACAAGCAGATATCATAACAAAACAAGGCAGTAGTTGCATCAGTAAATAACTATTTATGTCTAGAGGACAAGAGGATCTTTTTATTGAACCTTTCAAAGTCGACCCTGATGTAATACGATTCTTACACTTTAAGTAATTAGTAAAGCTTGGTCATTACATTGAAGAGGACCTTCTGCAACAGCACCAGAAAACGTTATTGACCCCAAGCAGTTTTTTGATATTGATCAGAGTAAAATGCGACAGTAAATCTTCCAGGGACTGAGGGAAGCGGAGGTGGGTAATTTCTTTAAAAGTGTATATGCATTTGGCGGTTAATTGTAGTAGGTAAAAGTTAATGTTGAGCCCTACATATATACATAGAAGGTGTTAGATTCTTTGTCTTTCTTTCTTTCGTTGGCTTCTTTTACCGTGAATTTGGAAAGCAAGTACACCATCAAGCTTGTTCACATCAATAGCATTTTTAGTGAAAATAGCCAAGCGGAGGGTGTCCAGACACAAAGACTTGCTACAACAACCTTGCTGGATTTTGGCCACACCATAACCGACACTGCTTCCAGATGATAGCTGTTATTTTTCATTGATCACTGCATCAAATCGAGACTTTCCTTTTTTCATAAGGGTAGCATTGGTTTAGCGAAGGCGAACAAGTCGGTTGGGGTCGCTGTTTACCTCCAGATACTACCTATGATGAAGTCCAACAAAGCTTTTGAATGTATGGCACCACGCTAAATACGACTTTATAGAGTCACCATTTTGGTTTGTTTCTTTCAAGAAGAAAAAGAGATAAAAAAGAAACATTGTTGTTTATTTATTTATGTTGTCAGTTTGATCAGTAAAGGTCATTTAGCTCACGTGTAATTATGAAAAATTCGTATTTACATTAGCCTATTTTCTGGTACATGTAGTGTTGACCTTTCAAGGAACGCAATATTAATGAAACTTTTGACACACTAGGGGTACTGAGGATATTGGAAGAAATCGAGAGAATCAGAGACGTGATAGACCGCTGCTTGAGACCTACTACTTGTAGCGGTGGATCGTAGTGATTCAGCTCGCTAGTTGGTCACAGCACTAATCGACTCCGTACAATCCAATTTAATTTTGAGAAGTATGATAGTGTGATGTAATTGAAAAAGTCGAGACGGTAATGTACAGTAAAGCTGAACCAAGCCTTTTATTAATTGGAATCATAAGTTTTATAAATACCAGTGGCTTAGTTAGTTCTTATTATAGTGTAACCTAGAAGACGGAAATAGCAGTAGTGCATGTAGAGATCTCAGTATTAAGATGTTGATAATGTAGTAATGTTAATGTTAGATGTTTTATACAAGAATATACTGTGAAATTTATATTCGAATGCGACAGATAGACTCTGATCGCGCATTCCAAAAGCATACATAGTCCGCAGTCGAGATCCAACTTTTATACTCAGTTCCTATCTTCTTATCGTGATCACTCTTGGGCATGAAATATTCGCTTTGAGCCTGGTTTCTGTTCAGGCAGTCCCAACGTTCAATACACTTTTTAATGATAAATGGTTAGCACGCTCAAGTCATCATTGGGTGTCGTCAGAAGTCCTTGTTTTGTCTTTTGATTTCTTGTTTATGTGCACGCCTACGCAATTTTTTTTCTTACACTATTTGCTCCCATTATTATATTTAGTATATGTTGAGGTAAATAAGCATGACTGGACTTGAGCATTAATACATCAGAGATATACCAATTTTATTCTTTGATTTTTGTTAATCGAATAAACGGTTATAAATTCTTTTAGTCATCATCTCGCAATAACAGTAAAGAACTTGGTCTTTGAACAGCCAATGCATATTTTTTTGTTAGCCCCCCAATCTTTACTTTAAAAGTCCATGCTATTTTTTATTATAAAATCTTCAAATTGGCAGTGGAACCACTGTATCATTAATTTTATCGTTGGATTATCTCGTGGGAGCTTTTCATAGATCTACAGGATAAAGCAGAGATTATATCCTAATTCTGTGAGCTGAACAGTCATCATAACAAGTATAGCTCATATCTGGCTCTTATTTTATTTACCTAAAAATACCATTCACCTAATCAGGGTTTAAACCACTTGTATTGTTGCTAATTGATCATTATACTCAATACCAAATAGTCAAGAATAAACAGATATACATTGAAAGAAGCCAAACAGCATCTGATGAGTGTACTGTTTTTAAACACTGTCAAGTAATTCTATTTATATCTCGTTACCTTTTTATTCTGATTATTCATTAACTTGCATTACAGAGTTTATTATTCTAGTCGTCAAGTGTCTTACAGGTCACAAATTGCTGTCCTAAACAATACTTTTAGTGTAAAACCAACCGATGGTAGTTTCGCATTCTGAGCTTAAAGCTACAGCATACTGTCATTGTGGTAACATTCAATCCCAGATATTGAAACCCAGAAGAACTGTTACTTGACACACATTTGTGCACGTTAGTTCGGCAAAAGAAAAAAGTATAAAAGGATCAAATGCCCTTAATTCCGATTTGTTTTTTTTTTCTTTATTTTTATAACAGGTAGAAATATGGCGTACCAAATCATCAATTGTAAGCCAAATAACATCAATGATAAACATGTACATTAACCATCAATAGCGCTTCAATCCGATATGAGCAGTTCCAGAAAGCGTAGAATGGATGATGATAGCGAGGTATTATTGAGTCAATTAAAAAAAAAAATAGATTTGTTTATTTACAAGACCAACAATAGACTATTGTGCTTAACGAAAACAAACGGTACTTTGATTTGCATACACAATTCTCTCCTGTCGAAGTACCAAAGCATACAACACTTCCTGCTATCACCTTTGCCTCTCCTGATTATATGCCTCCCCCGCGCTCCGAGGTCCCTCTTTGGTTACAGCCAGTGCCTAAAGCAGTTATCAATACTACCACTACCACGTATAGCAACAACAATGCCTCTTCGCCTGCCACAGAGGATGAATCAGAGGATGATGGCCCACTGTTAACACCTTTATTCCTGCAGCAGCAAGAAAAGAACACCAATGAATATTGGGGAGATAATATGGCAATTGATGAACAATGGCAATAAGAAATCACCCACTCTTTATATAAATTGTATATAGGCTCTTATTCACATCTTCATTCCATAATATGCTCAATAAAAAAAAGGTCTTTACATTCGGAGAATCAATATTAGTATAAAATCGCAGTCCTCTTTTGTTATTCTAGGCTGATTGAGTC